TTCACATTGCAGGCAGCCTTTGTTTATATTGCCTTAAACTATTTTGTGTCATCTACAAACCCTGCCATGATGCTATTAGCTTTTCTCAGATGATTTTTGCATGAATGGGGCAGGCACACAAATCCACAGATGCTGATGGGACTGCCCTGGAAATCTCCCTTTAAAAAAATCCAAGAAAACCCCCATGACCTTTTGTTTCTACCCTTTCTTTTTTACTGTAAGAGCTTTATTTATTTAACAACCTTTTGGGAAGGGCATCATCAAAACCTCTTCGGAAACAAGAGCATGCTTCATTAACAACACCACCACAGCCTGTGCTCTCACTGACTATTTCCAAGGAGTTCAATGGATTTATGATGTAAGATTTTCTCCCCATAGAAGTTCAAGGCTTTCTTATAAGTTTCTTATGTTGTTGTTCTTATGTCAGCATTACACATCTATAGGTGTTGGGACCTTTTCTAATTTTCTTTTCCAAAACTGGGTTCACATCTGTCTTTTAAGGAGAGGGTTGAGCAGTTTTAGCAGTTCTTTAACAACTCTGGGGAAATACCTTAGGGTTCTGCTGATTCATTGCTACTGATTTTATTGTTCTTTCTTAAATATTCACCTACTAGATTAGAGCTGCTCCTATTTGTTGTCATCAGGAAAGCCCACACAGTGGGAATATCCCTGAGATTTTGTGGCTTCCAAGCTCACTTAGTTTTCCTCTTTCTGGAAACCCCACTGACCCTATTGATTCCCTAATTTTCCACAGCAAGTTTGAGAGAGATTTGACTATGTCTTTTGGTTCTTTTAGCAAATTGTCTTCAAAATAGTTTTCAGACCTGACATCTTATGACACCTTTTGCTTACCAGAACACAATCTACATCTACTTCCTGGAGATTTGTCTTCAATGTTGTTCATATCGATAAAATATTTTTTGCTTTGTTTTGTAAAAAGATCAGTATTCTGATCATAGTGGATTAGATTAAGTGATGCTATGACTTACATTAGGCACATATCCTATTATTATGGTGAAGGTGTAGTTCACCTACTTCAGCTCACAGACAGGAGTTTTGGTAATAATAAAGAGAATAGTTTCTTTTAGTCTGAGATGGCCCAAGGTAGGCAGCAGAGGTATTTGTGCTCTGGTACCCTTCCTTTTCATGGCATTTTTAGAATGCTCTCTGCTTCATTAAAAAAAAACAACAACTAAACACCTTCCATTTTTAAATTAATTGAGTTAATACTGTTTTCATGAGAGAGGAGATTCCTCAGAGGAAGGTCAATAACATAATTAGCAAAATATAATTAAGACAGTGGTACTGAAGAACAGGAACCAAGTCGTTGGCCAGATGTTTCCCTTAGTACAGCTTGTAGGTTGGTTCTGTCCTTTGTCTAGGCTTGTGAAAAAGACAGAATTTAACAAGGAAAAAAAAAGCTCTTGGGTCTGAATATCTGGCACTTGAAAGTCAACACAAGCTATGATTTGGTTTTCTGAGCACTCAATTTTTTGCAACTTTGCATCATGAGCAAGCAAAAAAGTCATTGTTTATGTTCTTCATTTCAAAAGTCAATTTTACGTCACGTATTAATTTGCAATATTCAGTGCTTTCAATTTACCCTTTTACATATATTTGCAGATATAAGCCCAACTGAAGCCTGAAACAAGGCCATTAGTATAGCTTGCTAAAGCAGTCCGTACTCTCAATTACTTTATCTTAATGAATACTCTAATCTCCGGGGCATTTTATAGAAATAAAAACTAATTTTAAATAATAGCCATATTTGAAACTTTGAACTTTTGTTTGGAACTGCTTACAAAGAGGAAAATCAAGAATTATGCAGTAAATTACTGGCAATGAGTTATTGTTCTTACTCTGTTGATAATCATGGGAACAGAAGAATTGCTATATTTTAGCAGTCTAGTGTGATGAGTCTGTTCCCATTTTTTGCCCAGTGATCAATTCCTTATGTTTCAAAGGCACATTATCTAGTAACCCACACAAAGGAACAGTTTTTAATCTCTGGAAATTACTGCCTGATTTAGACCCTCAAACATAGCGATGAAAGTCCCAAGTGTATTAACTCTTCTTTTCTTAAAATGACTCCTGTAAATACCTGAAATGCCAAGACCTGGTTCCATCCGCACATTGTGGGTTTGGTTCTGTTTTTAGTTTGTAAAGAAGAGTTACTGGCATTTCATATATTTACTTGGCATCTTCAGAAGAAGTACATCTGTATTTATCTCTTTGACAGATCCTGGAAAGGCAGGAGTTTCCCCACATAGTTTTATGGAGGCGAAGTAACCACAGCATTAACAGAGGGAATGAAATCTGTCTTACCTCCTCATTTTCGTTTTTCAAACTCCAGGCTTTTTTCCATCAGAGCAAAAGATGCAGCTAGCTTCTCACTGCTGCTAACTGGATTAAGACTAACAGCTAATTTTACGTACAGGAATGTAATTTTCCAATTGCTTTTCCAATTTCTTCATATGATCCAATTCTCACCTGGTATATAATTCCAGAAAGACTGTAAACTCTAGTAATTCAGTCATGCAGTGTTTGAATGCTCTAAATATGTTTTCCTGAAGCTCATTGATTAACACAGGGCTTCAGTTTTCATTTAGTGGCCTGTGATTGTTTCTATAAATATATGTTTGGCCATAGATTTAATTCTTTTGGAAACCCTGCTTACGCATGGATGACTGATGGACCATTCTAAGTCATTGACTGTAGAGAAGGTTAATCAGACAAATCTTCTCATTAACCTGAATCTGATTCTCTTTTTTATTATTGAAAGACAGATAATTTTCATTTTCACAGTGAGGTCAAGAAATGAGTTATTATAAAATATGTCTATATGTTAAGCATGTGTGCATTTTATATGAGAGTTTATAGAACAAGAAATATATTGTGCAAAAGCATTTTGTAGTGCCATTCAATCAGAAAAAGCTCACAGCACATATAAATGAATAGAAGACTGTTCTTTTCCAGTGTGCAAGTGCATAAAAATGACCTTGATAGCTCTTCTTATTTTTTTTTTCTCTATTTCTGTGTTCCTATATTGTCTTTTTTTCATTCTGCCAATACTTTTTTCATTGTTTTATGTTGATGTTTCATTTTTGTTGGGCTGCTTACTTGCTTAAATACATGACATTTCATTCCCTTCAGTGGTGATCCCCATATTACTTTGTCTAGCCTATTCCCAGTCTTGCACATAACCCTAGTAACCTTTTAAGTGGCAGGCACAGTATTGTCTCCAAGTAGTCTGTTCACATTTTTGAAACAGATCTGAACATTGTGAGCTTTTTTTCTCAGACTAATAGGTAAAGCCCTATTTATTTATCTTATTTGCCAAACATGCTATGTCAATATGCCATGAGGAGTTGTATGTGGATAGCAGGCCAACTCATTCCTTATGTCATTCAAAAATGACAGACTTATTTATATAGTTTTGAATTATGATTGGCAGTGTGCTACATGTATGCCTCCATCTATATGTGGGAAAAGGAGTGAGGCTGAGTCCAGCATGTCCTCTTTCTTTGAAGTCACTGGACTTCCCCTTAACATACATGTTGGAGAGAAATCTGGAAGCAGTAGGATTTCCTAGCACGTCCTACATAATTATAGGGATGTCAAACCATAATTAAATACTTAAAATCTTGTTTCTGTTGCTAGCAGAATCATAAGTCTCTTGGCACATTTCTGCCAGAAAAGTCCTTAATTTTTTGAATGATATGTTGGGAACATAACCAACACCATCTCTTTGCTGAGAGTAACTAGGTGTTCTCATATAGCCACTAAACACGGTAATTTCTTCTATTAGATCAATATTTTGATTTCTTCTCCAATCAATGTTTTATATCAAATAATTGAATAATCTTGAGAGCAAAAATGTAATGACATAGTCTTCCATGCCTACTTCAAGTGACTAGACTAGTGAGTAATTTTCTGGCTTGCTAGTTCAACAGACGTGCAATCATTTAATTAAAACTGGAAAAATTAACCTGAAGAAACTGGAGAGTGACATACAGATATATGTTGCTGGCCACAGCAAGATTAAGGTTAAAACTGCCTTGGCAGAAGTAAATGGGCAAGACTCCCACAGACCTGGATGGTTGTCCTCATTGCTCCTAGAAAGCAAGGAAACCAAGAAGGTTGCATTAGCAGCTCCTGGGGCTGAGGGAAAAAAGGTTTTCCCCCTCAGCTCAGTGCCAGCTGGATGAGAGAGTTCTCTATTCCTTCTGGTGGCTTTGCCTGTTCAGAGACACGTGGATGTCCCCACATATACAACAGGGAGCCTAGGTATATGAGGCAGAGCTGGATATCTCTCTGTGGGACAAGATCTTGGATTCATCCCATGTAACAGTCAGCCTGAATTATTGCTCGGAATTCTCCATTAACTTCAGAGGAGCTCTGCAAGGTCTTTGTTTCTGGCTAAGGTTCCCAAAGTTAGCGGGATGAAGCCGGCTGAAAGTGTCAGAAGTTCAGAATTGCGACACTTGATACTGCAATTTCTAAAGGCTTTTGTGGACTCATCTGGTGGGGAAATTTTGGTTAGGTAAATGCAGTGGTATTTTACGATTGACTTTAATAGCCCTGGAAGTAATTTAAAGAATTCTGTAAAATAGCTAATGCTGCTGCTCTAGAAGTAGGTATTAACTGCCTTTGGTCCAATAATATTGAGGCATCAAAGCCGTTCCTCCTAGGTCTTGCTGTAATGAAAGATGGGGTTTTAACCATTCTTTAAAAGCAGTGAATCGTTTCAATTCTTTCTCTCCTGAAAGCTCTTTCTATCAGATGTATTTTGATAGAGTTAGAATCATGTCCCTGTTTTCTTGCTAAATGTTCCTATTTATATGTTAAAAAAGCTGGCAGGTTTGCAAGTACTGAAAAAAAAAACCCTCAAGGGGACAGCATTTTTTAAATGGAATGGGATTCAAAGTGAGAATTCATGAATATGCCTTTGGCTAGCTATGACTGCAAATCTTACAGAGATCTGTGATACTCTTATTCAGCAGAGTCCAGCTGGGAACTGGCATGTTGTGTCTGTGTAGCCCTTTGCTCTCTGCATCTGTAGAGAAGGAGGTGAGTCTCGAGCCCCGCGGAGGGGGAGGACATGGGAGCTCTGGTGGCTGTGATTATAGCTGGAGAGTAGGCTCTCTGCAGGAGGTCGTGAAACCTGGATCACTAGCATGAAACTGGGCTACTGTCAGCCTTTTATTTGGCTCTTGATGAAGAAACTGTGGACTGAGGAAACCTTCCTGAGCTCAGTGCTAACATAACCATCACTAGAAATCTGTTTTGGCATTTGCTGGTTTCTTCTCTTTGAACACTGACTCTACAGAATAGAAATTACCATATTGCACTGTGCATCCTTAATACAGAAAGCAATTATAATCACTGCCAAGATAAAAACATCTGCCTGAGGGAAGATCTTGCTGGTCTGGCCATGAAGCTGTTGCTGAGGTAGAGCACTGATAATTATTCCAGCACTGCTCTGTTACATGGCTCAGTTCACTTCTTCTCATCGTGCTTCCATTTTACTTTTTTTCTACATTCCCATAAACTCTTGGATGAAAAAGGCCTTAAGAGCTGAGAAGGTCTGGAAGAACTACTGTCAGCTGCCACAGATTAGATAAAGTGCTGCAAGGGCTGTAGGGTGGTAGGAAAGATGGCACCAGTCATGATACTGGTCTAAGATTTTTTTGCCTGATTGAAAGTCACTAAAGCCTAAGAAGGTACTCAGAGATAACTCATTATTATACTTAATGGGCAGCTAGTTGTATTGCATCAGGCTTCCTTTATGTTACAGAGTAATTGGACAAAGCAGAGTCTTGCTATACCAACAGGCATGGAAAAGCCGGGAAATTTTTCTGTATAGAGAGATGGAGGGACCACAGCTGCTTGATTCGGAAAGCAAATAAAAAAGGTAAATGTATGAATAGAGTCAATATGGAGTGGAAGATGCACAAAATAATAAATGTTATAGAAAATCAAGGTCTCCTACTTATTCCTGAACATAATGCCAAAACAAGGCAATTTGAAATGGAAGTGAAAAGCAGCATATCCTGAGTGGTATATTATTAATTTATGGTATTGATTGGCACATCAAAATGAAGGATTTAGTAAAAATAAAAGCAAGAAGAAGTCTGTGTATGGATAATAAGAAGATCTAAACCTGTTAGACAGCACTGGATGACACAAGCCAGGGAAACAAAAGGCAGGGCCTTAATTAATTGGCAGTAGATTTCTTGTCCCTTCATTTTGTCAGTAATCAGAACAGGAGTTTCAGATGGCCAGATCATTTCTCTGGTCATGCGTTGCAATGCTGTGCAGACAAGCTTACACGTGATTTTGCTAAAATGCTCAGAAAGGCTTTTGTGTATCCACATTTCCAGTTAAAATACATTTAGTGTGACTTCAATTGCATGTGCCATGGACAGCTTGGTGTCAGCTGCAGCTGCTTTTCACAGCCTAAGAAGTATTAAGGAATGTGAACTTGACAAGAAACAACTGAAGAGGAGTACACTCATTCCTAAGGTAACTCTGCTGACCTTGCTAGAGCTGATCCAAAGTTCAGTTTAGCCTTGACCTGTTTTTCTGTAGTTTGCAAGTTGTGTTTCTGGAGAACTGCTTCTGCTGCTCTTCTATCCATCTTTGTTCAAGGTAATAACAAAAGAAGTGAAAAGGTTCAGGGAACGGTGGCAAACATAATTGGAGCACAGGAAAACTCTCATATGAAGGGAGATTAATAAGGTTGGAGCTGTTTCTCTTAGAGATGAGACAAATAAAAAGGAGGTAAAATAAAAAGAAATATAGAAGGACTCATCCACATTCCCCCTGTGACCCACTAAAGGGCCTTTAGAGGTCCATAGCCATGGAATGGAACTAAGCTACTGATACCTTCTGCTCCCTGCCAGCTGAATGTGCAGTTGGGCTCTCTGCCCTGTGCCTTTTGGGGTGTAAAGGCTAAAAGTCATTCATATAGGGGAGGGGCAGCTGTGGTCCCTGTTTCCCACCCAAGAGAAAATAGAGGGAGTCACAGAAAATCTGAGAATATTCCAAGTCAAAGAAAAGGGAGATATCTCTCCACTTAATACACAAACACCCATGGAACTAGGAAATAAATAGTGTTTGAAGATACTATGTTTGTAACAAGAGTTTTCTGGGTTATAAGAGGTGCTGGTAAAGCTGGGTGCAGCTGTGCAGCCTAGGGGATGCTGGATGCTCTACGGGTGGGAAAGGGGATACACAAAGACTGGCAGCAAGCATGCACCCCAGGAAAAGGCAAGGCTGAGGTGTCTGAGGCTTCAGCCACACTGGGGAGTTAGCTGCCTGAGTCCAGTCATTATCCAGCATCATCTGAGCTGAGAGAGTCAGCCCAGCTTGTGAACATAGCCTGTGGTCAGTGTGGACAGCAGTATTCACAGAGGGATGAAACTGGGTCAGAGCAAACACAGTTTCTCATGCATTTGCAATAGGCAGGCAGCAGAAACAAATAATCAGCTACCATGGTTCACTTGGTGTTTAGTAACTCAGGGGTGATGGTGAAATATCACAAGACCGAGTCCTAAAAACATGTCACCTCGTGCCTCTGTATTTCATAGGCAACAACCATTGTGACGATCTCTGAGGACTCACCAAACAAGTTCCCTAAGCAGCTGATGATAGTGCTGTACTTTCTCAGTGAATTCCATTTCATGTCAGTGTACTTTATTTGATGAATATTTCTTTTTTTGCTGCAGGGCTTCAGCAGCAGTGCGGATGGAGACTGCCATGCCCTTGCTTTTTACTGAGTGGTTCACTCACAGTACACCTGGGTTTGTAATCCAGCAAGCCCCAGAAATTGTGTAAATGCATCTTTTGTGCCTGGCCTGAGTATCTGGTGGGTTCCTTACTGCCCAGCAAACACCTACAGACTTGGCTGCCGTTTGGGAAAAGGAAAGGATCAAGGCAATTCCTGGGACATTGCAGGGACTAAGCCCCAGAGATGACAGTGGATCCCTGCTCCCAAGCCTGGTGAGAGAACTGAGCCTCTGGAGCTTTTCTTTCTAACTTCTCTTTCTTCCTTAGAGAGTCTTTGAATTCCAGTTTATTCTTCACTTAATATGAAGGGATTTATGCTGATCACTCTTGTTAATAGCTGTTAATAGGAATTTTATTCTTAAATCTCCTGTGTTTGGAAGTATCATTTTGTTTTCAGAGCAAATTTAAATTTATAAGTTTTCATGAGAAGAAAAAGTTACCAGACCACCTTCTGCACTTCCTAGCTGATGTTATACAGCCTTCTCTGGTTAGCTTTTAAAAACTATTTTTAGCTTAAATATGTAGTATAGAGCCCTAGACACAAAGCTTGATGGTGCTTATCACTTCAAATACACTATCAACAATCTCCTCCCAAAAGGAACAGATCGTAGGTGTGTAAGGGACTCCCTTTTTTCCTCCTGCAGAGTCTTCACTTTTGATATCAAAAAGCTTGGCTTCAGTGAGTCCCCCAGCTGCTTCAGCCTGACTCCAGAGATGGCTGAGGCTGCAGGTGAGCTCCCTGCAAAAACTGGGGCAACCCCAAGTTCAAAGTGAAGCAGCTGGAGCTGGATGGGATGCATTACACAGACACTTCTTTCTCCTTTTTTTTTTTTTTTTTTTTAAATTCCCTTTGCTATATTATATTATTATATTTTTCTTTTACTTCTCATTTTTTTCTGACCCAATTAATGTCTCTTCACTTGAAATGGTTTGTACAGTCATTAGGATTTGGGGAAGGCTAGCAGCTGTAATGCTATAAAAGCTGGGAGGCCTTCTCCTGTAGCCCTCTGTGAGTGCCCGTCTTTGTGCTCTCAGAGGCCTTTGTACATGGTAACCTTACTTGGGGGAGTTTATCTAAGGAATTTGGGTTGTCATACAGATCTTAGTTTATAGGTGCGGTTGGGTGGATTTGGGATGCTTAAGTGAAATTGAGTATATATATATATGTGGGTAAAAATAAACATAGAATAAAAGAATATGTAAAGTAACTAAATAGCCTTTCTAATGCCCGGGCAAAAGTAACAGGTTTGTGTGTCCTAAAGCACACAGGATGAGCTTTCTGATGACTAGGTGTAGAAATGTTTACTTCTGCCCCAAATATCACATTGCCTTTTTCTTTTTTTTTTTTTTTTTAATGCATGTGAAAATCATTTGTGATGTCAACTCTAAAGATAATAGTGTTGTACAACAACTGCAATATTTTTTCAGGTGAGCTTTGAAATTGAGTATTTGTGTATATAGTTAAGAACATGTAAGTTTTCCCATCCCAGCTTCTATCTCACATCTGTTGAGCTGATGTCTTGTATATTTACTCTTTTCTAGAATAAAACTCACTTGCTTTTAGGCTGAGCAAAACTTTCTCAAGGACCATAAGCAGGAAAATAGTAGGAAATATGGCATAATAATCTTTGTTTCTTGTAATATTTTTCTAATTTGAGAGGTTCCTAAGCCACTTTTCAGAACATGGATGCAAAGGTTAAGTTATAAAGGTATGTGGCAAATTATTTTTATAATGGATTTAGAAAACTGCCCTGCATTGCTGCAAGTGAGGAAGGATAGGTATTTACCATTTCTGCCATACCAGCCAATCCATAGAAATGAGTTTGGCCATTTTATCTTCCTTATTCTGACAGAAGTAAGACAAGTGTAATAATCTGTATTTTATTAACATTCAAAGTTGGTTGGGTTTTGATGTTAATAGGCTTTTAATGATTTTGCATGGGAGAATGTCCTGTTTAAAGAAAGAGGGAGCAGCTGTTAAGTCCAAATATAAGAAAAATAATTTAATTCATGTAGCATGGCAGCATATTGAAATTTTTATTGTAGCTTGTGCTGCCTCAGCTGTGAAGTGCCCTCATCTTTATTCCATTCCATTCCATTCCATTCCATTCCATTCCATTCTCAGTTGAAAGGCTGTTGTTATTGACTGTTTATCTTTAGAACCTTCACTAACAGCATTATTTTGCAGTCCATTTTCAAACTGGGGTGCATTTTAGAAATAGGTCTTTATTAGATCACATCATATTGGTCTCTATTCCAGAATGCAAAAATAAGATGTTTAAATAATTGACTGAATTTTTGCCTCAGTGAATGCTTGCAAGGCCACTCTGAGGCTGGTCAGCTGATGGGTGTGGATGGTGTGGTGGGCAGGTGGCTGTGTCTGTTCCCTCTGAGCAGCCAGCAAGGAGACTCTGTTGGGGAGAGTTTTTTCACTCACCCTCACAGCCACTGGCAGCAGCTGCCCTGCTGTGCTTAGCTCTGCATCGCTTGGGAACGCACTGATGGATGACAGCATGTTTTCCTCTGATCTAGAGACATTTCTGAACCTTACTAAACCTGCCTTTTGCTTCAGCTAAGGGGCAACTAAATTCAGTAAAAAGGAAGCACCTAAAATCAGAAGTGCAGTAGATAAATGAGTACAGAAAAAATAATTCAGTTGCTGTCCTGCTCTTGTTCACCCTGTCTTTTGAAATTAGTAGTTAGAGCTTTCACTACTATTAGAGTAGTGAAACTCCACACTGCACTTTCAGGTGAAGAGCAGAGCGGTCTGTGACTTATGGGCTTTACTTTACACAAGGAAGGATTGCTCTCCTAATCCATCAGACAGGTGAACTGCATTGTGTTTAGCCAGTAAAAGGTGGATATTGGAGGAAATAGACCATTAAATTACCATTACCTAGTTCTAAAGAGATATTCTTGAAGACACAGATCACAAAGGTGTGAAAGAGCAACCGGGTCTCTCCTCAGCTCCTAGTTTTTTGGGTCTGGAAAACAGAGAGCAGTGGTGCCTGTCTCTGGGTGAGTCATGCAGCTTAGAGCAAGGACTTTTAAAATCTTCTTATCCATTACAGAGGGGGAGACACGTGTTACACCTGCTGTGTGCTATGTGCAAGCTGTAAATCAGATGCTATAGAGGATTTTTCCACAATCGAATACCCAAAAGGCCTCCTGATAGGCAGGGTCAGACCCAAAGGCAGAGGAGAGGCAGCCTCAGCCCTGTGACAGCCTGAAGCAAGTGCATCTCCTCTCAGCCATCCCTTCCCCAGACCTGGAAGTAAAGTGGGGCTTTACTTTACACTTTCTACTCCAGATTTTGGTTTTGTGGCGTTTGCGGTCCCACTGCAGGCTGGGTGAGGTGGTGGGGCTGGTGCAGGGCTCAGAGAGGACTTGGGGTGAGCAGGAGCCAGGCTGGCAGCATGGGGCTGCCTTCCTACAGCACAGATTTTTTGGTCCTGGGATCACCCTGGCCCTCAGACCTGCTCAGCCTCACCTGGGTCCCCTCAGGGACCTAGCATTACCCTAGCAGTTGCATTGCATTCTTTTCCATCTGTAGGGAAAAAAACTCCAAACACTTAATTTGGATTCTGGTTTGGGGACTGGGTTTACAATGAAGAAAATAGGTTATAATATAAATCCAGCCTTTACAAGGCAATGCAAACCTGTTCTTCATTTCATGCAGTATCTGTACATCTCATTTTGTTTGTAAGCTAAACTATCATTCACAAGTGTAAGCTATAGATCAGAAAATATTGCATACATTTGTAAATGGTGTAAATAACCAAGTTGTTTGGTGTTTTTTCAAACTGCAAAATTCTTTGTGGATTGTGCTTTTTCCTAAATTAAAATCCTGAAATTTTTTTTGGCTAAATTTGGTATGTTCCTAAGATGCAGATCCAAAGTTGACAATTGTGAGTCTTAAAATCCAGCTAGCATCTATGTAGCTTTTTTTACTAATCAATTCAAAAGTGATGGAACTTTACCACCCTTCTACATGTTACACTACACATATAATGCACTACTCATGTTTTCATCCTCCCAGCAAGGATAAAACACACTTCTAGATGGATACAGACCACTGAAAATCAGCCTAAAAGTGAAATGGAAACAATCCTAAAATCAATTTTTTTGACAACTAGAATTTAAAACTAGAAAAACTAAGAAAAGTTAGGTCTCAGTTCTTATCTGCTCTATGTTATGAACTTAGATGTGTCTTAACAGCAATATTTCAGTCTTAGGGCTTTATAAAATTATGTTAATTTTCATGAAGTGAGATCTATAGATTAATGGGTTTTTTTTTGTCATTGACACACTTTCTAAGGAGTTATTTCCTTCCCTTTCCCTTTCCTTTTCCCTTGCCCATCTAAATTGAAGCTGCTAAGAAAAAAATGTTCTTTTTATTATGAACACACACGAATCCTTATAGAAAGGCTCCTGGCTAAAGTGAGGGTTTTCTGGTCCAAGCTAGGAGGAAGAGGGAAGAGGAGGAGGGGAAAGGAGTGCAGGGGGGAACATTTCTCTTCTTCTTTTATCATGGGGGAGTGTCCCAGGCCCCTCCCTGGGACTCTGAAATCTTTGACTGAAGTCAAGCTTCCCTGGTTTCAAACTTGGCAGGAGAGTGCCCAGATGCTGCATGGTAGCTGGGATAAGAATTAACTGGGAAGGACTCAGTTACTTCTAACAAAATAATTTTGTACTGTCATTTTAGATAACTAGACATTGGCATAGAACTTCAGTCTGCTTTCCCCAAACTCCTGGTGGAAAATCTTTACTCCAGCCCTTTCCAGACTTTTAAACATGTTCATGGAAAAGTTCCCAAGGTCTTGGGTTTTCCTTTGGTTGCAAAATATGTAAGTTTGGACTCGTAGAAACTATCAGGGGAGAGAAAATATTTCCTATTTAGCTTTTGTAACAAAACAAAACAAAATGTTTCCTTTTTTGCTTAGTTATAAAGGTTGCTAAGAGATAGATACTTCATTCCTTAAAATTGCTTTTTCATGTAACAGTACAGATGTCAGCAGACAAAGCAAGCAGGTCTTGCTGTATTGTAAGGTGTTGCAGAGAACAGGCCAATAAATAGATTGAAAAGAAAAAATGCTGGGAAATGCTTGCTATAAAATTAATTAGATATCTAAATAGGAGGAGCTGATTTCTGTAAAAGCAAGAGGATTTCTGTAAAACCAAGAGTGCTTTTTAATCTTTCATAGTGGTTCAGAGATTCAGTCCTCGAGTGAAGAAGTCCAAGAGGGCAGCTCTAAAGTGTTGGTAAGCAAAAAACATGGACCAGTGAATAAGAAGGCAATATCTGTTTTAGAAATACATAGAGACAGCTTTATCTCTATAATGTATTCATCATGAAGCATTAAAAGCACTTTGGCCCCGTGTCTTGAGGAAGGTTAAAGTGTTACGGTTACTGTCTGTCCTGCTTAGTGTTACTGCACACTCAGTATATCTTTTGGGCTTGTAATTGTGGTATGTTGCAGGGTATTTCTTTACATTTAAATAATCTAATTTTCAGAGAGTGTCAATATGGCTGAAATGGAATCAATGGTACCAAACTCCCTTTTACTAGCTAAGGAGCTGGTCCTGTGTGCTTAAAAATAGCCTAATGAGGGAAGGACCAGTCTACCTACTGAGAGGTTTCGTGACCTACTTCTGCAGCTCTCCTGCTCTTTTGGGAAAGCTCTGCTGGGCTTATGGTTCTTCATCTCCTTGGTCTCCCCCAAATCACTCACAAAAGCAAATTCCACCAGAGAGAGGGGGGAGAGAGAGACAGCTGCTTCTGCATATATTAATAATACACAGCTCTATAAATGATTAATAAAAGATACCACTGACTTTGAATTACAGTGTAGTAATTCATGCTTAGCTGTTTAGATGGCTGCCAGCCTTCACCCTGGTGGTGCACGAGGCACCCAGGATGAATGATTATCCTGTCATGCAGACTGTTGTTTCTAGCTGCTTAAATTGAGCACTGCACATATCGGACAGGATCATGCAGCTGATTATGACCCACCACATGGATGGTCATAATCAGACTAATTAACTTTTAAAATTGCTCAAAGATGCATCTGTGGGAATGGTGTCAGCCACAGACTGTGGGGGCTTCATCCTTTGACATGTTGGAACCTTGAGCTGGTCCAAAGAAATGTCTAAATTTGTGATCATATTTAATTTAATCACATGTGCAGATATTCTGGTGAATCCTATGGAGTGCCTGGTACAGAGGAAAGTTCTGCTGCTCCTCTGGTGGTGGATATGTTCATGTTATCATTCTGCAGCTGTTCACTCTATGGGAAGTTGTTGCACTCACTGCTGTGCCCCTCCGAGTTCTCCATGATGATTACTTTGGGTGAGATCTAGCCCTAAAAAGGGAATATTAATTTTTAAAAAGCCTTGCAGAAATGAGATTGTATTTAAAACAAACAAAAAAAAAACCCCAAACTGAATAGCTGGGTGTTAACTGAGTAGCTGGGAGCTGAGTAAAAGAAGTTGTCCTTGGGAGATAGAGAACAGGAGCAGAAATACAACCCTGTCTAGTCACCTGCCGACTACTCAGCCAGTTTTCATTTAATTTCAGGTGGTTCACCACATCCCAGTGTCAATCAAAATGGATCAGAAAGATGACATCTGAAAAGTGCCATTTTTCTCTGTAAATTACAAAGGGATCCTGAGGTGGCTTGCTCAAACATAGATGTCTACTGTACAGAGCCCTATAACTTGGGGAGGTGAGGCTTACCTTTTAAATCCCTGCATTCCCCATTCTCTAGCATTTTCTTTGGCTACCACAGAAGAATGAAAGGCCACAGCATCACTAACAACCTGTTCATCAAATAAATGCATTAAAATGTTGTAGTGGAGAAGTGACTGCTGATGTGGAGCTTGTAGGGGTGTAAAGTCCCCACAGAAACATTGGTTCTGTCTGTGGCCTGCAAAGGGGACGTGGAAAACCTGGTTGGGTTATCCCAGACAGAAGGAAAAACACCAAAGTACTTAGATCCACAAGTGAGCAAGTGAGGCCTCCCTCCTCTTCAGGGGAAAAAATGGGGCCCCAGAAGGAGTTTGGTGCCTTTGTGCTGGTTTCTGAGTGGAGCAAACCTTTGAGGGGGAACAATGCTAATAGAGTCATCACTTTGGCACATGAACCCTGCTAGAAAGAAAGCCTGTTAATCCCCTCTGTAGTCTATCTATTTATACCCTTAGGCTGCATGCAAACTGGCCAAGTACAAGAACAAAAGCTGACTCGAAAAATCACTCCTGTGATTGTTGTTCTCATGAGCTATTATCTCCTTTATTAAGGAGCAGGCTTCGAATAACCTTTCTTAAGGACAATGTTCTGTGAAGAAATGTGATTATCATGCTGATTTAGGTGAAGCTTGGCTCTCCTCTCCCTCTGCCCTCCCTAGTCATTCCCTTACTGTCCTTTTGATGGTGGTGCCATCATCCAAGCTGGAGGAATGCCCTGACCCCAGCCCTGCCCCTTGCTTCTTTGGGAGACCAGTATCTGCCTACAAGTTAAGTTTGTCTTCCCAACCACTACTTTAAGGCATTTGGTTATATAAGTTTTACAATAAAAAGGAAAAAAAACCAAAAAACTTGGACTACACATTTGTGTGTCATTTTAGAGGTGGGATCTTATGATCATTTAGAAAGTAATGTATGTGATATTTCATTTGTTTCTTTGGTATGTCTGAACTCGTTAATAATTGGGATTATCTTCTCTGCAGTTTATATTTGAGAAAAAAAATCCTCACCAATGTCCTGTTTCATCGTGACTGAATGGAGATGCACCTTCTTGACCTGGAAGGCAATACACCCAGGTTCTTTTGTGTCAGTCAGATTAAAAGAGGAAAAAGATGACTCTTCTGATCTTTCTGCAAAGTACATTTCCAGAGGCTTTTGGAGAAACTCATCCTTCCTTGAAATGCACTTGACTGAGAAGATACTTTGAAAATATAAAGTGCAAACAACTCCTCCAGTGGTTTTGCTGGAGAAAAAGGAGCAGGAGGAATTCATCATACTTGGCTATACTGAGCATGGAATGCCTTCTTTGGAAAACTATCTGCATCAAGAATAGCTGTGTTGCAACTTACGTTCCTGCAATGAAAATTTTTAAAAAGATCAGTTTAGACTTATCTGTAAGAATTTTACAAATTTTGACTAAATGTAACATTTCCATTAATGTGTTTCCAGTATGTTGAGGATAACTCATTAGATAACATGAGCTTAAGGGATCTGTGAACTGAATGATGGAGGTTCTTGAAGTAAAGTAGTAAATATCTTTTTCAGACTATGTGTTTACAGTTTTCTAACCCTTCCAGTGTTGGGCAATCAAAAATTTTATCTACAGTTTACCCTGACTTTTCAAGTCATAATCCTGTTTAAGTCCAGACAACAGGAATAAATGAAATCAATACAAAGAGCCACAGATTAATTTGTGCAATTTTTTTTGTACTTTATAAGCTATTTGTGAAATGAAATTAAGTTACTCTAATATGGTTTAATTATAGGTAGGCCAGATGAGACTTGGTATTTAAAGACAGTGAATGTGTATATTTAAAGAGATGAAACTCCTGTCACACTGGGATGATAAAGCAAAAAAAGGATGATAAGATAGAGTGGTGTTTAGGTTCATGTCTGAGGCTGACTGGAGCCAGATGTTGGATTTAGATGTGGTGGTTGCTGGATTCTTATGAGCTTTCTGCTGCTGAGGGTGCACCCTCAGAGTGGGGCAGAGAACTGCGCTGATGCTGTTGTGGCCATAAGCTATAAAGTACAAGTATAGTCATTTTTCCTTCTTTTGAAGACCAAGTGAAAACCAGAAGCAACATGAGAAAGCAAAGGTTTGGGGATTTTTTGTGCAAAAGTGACTCATTGTGGGACATCTAAGTGGGAAAATTGGATATTTCTAATTTTTGCAAAAGCCAGACAAATAAGAGGATGTTTATTAGGTCACAAGTACAAATCAGGCACTTCTGAAGCTGGGTGGGAGGAAAACCTTTCTGGTTCAGAACTTATATCTTAGCTTATATCTCATTCCTGAAGAAGACAGAATTCAGAGACCCTCTTGGCCACCATGCTGAATACAGTCTCTTTGGGCTCTATAGGTAGGCTCTTTGAACCTACAGATCATCTCTTGCACATTTAATCAGGAATAATCTAGGAAGGTGTTGCACAAAACCACTAGCACCCAAGCAGGACCTACGGTAGCAAATATGAGAGGACCACTGGGAATGTCCTGACTCATTATTCTAAGAATTTCTTTCTCTATTAAAATATCTATTTAAATATTTCATGAGTTTTTTTTTTTCCTGGGAATTCAGCTTTAATTGAAGAGGGATATCTGAAAAATGGAAGTGATATTCCTGTGTCAGATGTTTGCCAGCATTATTAGTGGCTTTTTGAGAAGCTAGTCATGAGAACAAGCCTTCCTCTGTCACAGGTCCTTGAGTGTTTTCCTGGCCAAGCCTTGGTAGATGTTCAGTTTCCTCAGGGAGCTTGAGTTTGGTCCCCTTCCACTTTCCTTCTGGCCTTGCTGATGCATTTTGAAGATGCATATTCACGGGTTAAGACATCACATATTGCTCTAGCACAAACAGGATTTAATATTAATCTTTGTTTACTCAACAGTGTAAGTTGTATTTATTCTAAGATCTGTTAAGTTTAATACTGATAAATTGAGCACTTTCTTAATGTATGTTCACATTCTGTCTTAGTCTATTATATATGTGCTATATAGATGTGGTGCATTTGCTTTATAAACCCAAAAATAAAGTCAAGAATAAAAAATGCTTTTGCAAACCAAGTAACTACTCTGTGAAATAATGGAACTTAGAGAGCTGCAGTTCATTCCATGGGTTCAGCTGATCTAATACATTACAAACCCTGACAGGGCAGCTTTGATCCCCAGCTTTTGATTGTGCATTCCTTCAGCTCTCACTTTGGTTCTGGTGGTGTTTGGATCTGTAACGAACCAGGTTGACTCACTTATCCAGAATAAAATTGAATAGATAAAAATGGGGGAATTTTGTCTTGGGTTAATGAATTGAATCATCTTCACAAAGGGCCTGAGGAATGCTGTGCATAGTGGAGGATGATGGAGAGGGAGAATGATGACTTTTAGGTAGTAGAGATCTGTTAGATCCGCTTAGCTGCCTCTTCCACCTCCCCAGCCAGGACACCAGGACATGGGTCTACCAGACTTCAAAGCACTCCAAGTGGGTCTTGCTGTCCTACCCTGCTGTGCTGTGACATGGTGCCCTGCTCTTTCTGTGCACCAGCACTTGTGTCCACTGTCCCTGTGATGAGCTGGTAGAAGAATATTCAGTATTTGTGTGACTTTAGTTAGGTCTCTCCCAGTTTTCCATCTTGAGCTGATTCTTCAAGATGTCAAGTAAACACAGGTTGAAAAATGTGCAGAAAAGCTTGGGGACGCAGGATGTGATTGAGCTCTGACAGGGGTGGCTTAGATTACTTGAAACTGTAGGCTTCAGTGCTACAACAATCGGTTTTCTGCATTTTTGTTTCCCCCTTGCTGCTGCTTTGTTTCCTCTTTGGTGAATTTGAGAGGCACAGTTACATTTTCTGACTGATCAGTAACTGACTGATTTTTCATCTGTACAAAACCATGTGTCTACAATGGACCTAACTCTGATAATTTGGGTTGCAAAACTCTCTTTGCACCTAGAATATACTGAGAGCAGGCCACAAGAAGGTGAATATATCTAAAGAACAAAGGTATGTTAATAATTGTAATAAAATCATATACAGACATGACAACCAAAACCCAAATCACCAACTCGTGTTTGCTCATCAAAAATATCTGCAGCTGGTCTAAAGAATTTGATGAGGTACAGAAATCAGCAAACAATTTGTAATAGACTCTGACAAGACTAAATCAGATTGTAAGAAATGGATGGACCTGTATTTCCAGGCTGATCCATGTGTCAAGTACAGTGTTGTGGGAAAGTTCCAGCACCGTTTCCATACCTACCATAGGTCATACTTTAACTGCTTGCTACTTTGGGCATACTTCTTGTAACAAGGTCTCTGTACTTGACTGAGTTTGTGGTGCAGGTTATATCTTGGTGAACTGTGCTCACTTTCTGTGTGCTTGGGACTGCTAAAGGCCATTGGAGAACTAGAGCAGACATTGTCCCTGATTTAGCAGTAAAACCTGTTTTCATTACTAGGTCTCAAGTTCCTGAAGACAGCCCAAATCCTTCAGCACTGGAGCTTTCAGTAAGACATTGTTTGTTCTGCCACACTGTCAATAAGATGCCATTACTTTAACTGCAAGATAAGAAAGGATTTGTTAATGGCTCCTCTTGGGGAATGGTGACATTTTTTCCCCTTTATGGATCACTGGGGAAAAAATACAGGAGTAGGCTGACAAGGAAAGAAAATCAGTTTGGCACTTTTTTCTTTTTTTTTTTTTTTAATTTATGCTTCTCAGTAAAAGCTTTAAGTTATGAAAAACACAAATTCAGCCTTTTTCTTTTATTTGTAGTCATGTGCAAAACCAGTGATATAATGTTCAATGTTCAAGTGCATACACATTTTTAAGAGATAAAAATAAATACTTCAGCGTCTTTTAAAAAGAAAGCTGCTGTGAGCAGTAACAGGTCGACAACCTATCATTAATCTGGAGGTACAGTACTCCAGGAGAGGCAGATCAGTTTTTGCCTTTCCCAGGTCTAAGTAAGTAGTTACTGATTAACAGCAGATATGGCAAGGAGTTTTCAGTCCTTGCTTTGGCATAGTTGTCAGTGCTGTAACCCAGGGGCTGTGTGGCCATGGGGCTGCTGTGGCCCCCGTCCTGCATCCTCTGCCTCTGGCCAAAACCTCCTGCAAATCCCCTTGTCTGCTGTCAGCTCTGTCCCAGGCTGCTGTCATGAAACTCCCTCATTGTCCTGGAGCTTTCAGAGTCCAGGTGACATTTTGGCAATCTCTGATAGAGCAATGCCATGTTTTTTTGCAAAAGCACATTTAGGACAATGACAAAGGACCTGATCCTGTAAATTTTTAGCTGTCTATATAATCTTCTGTATAGTTAAAGATATGAGCACACAGACAGCATGTCTGAACTTGGAAAATTCACTTGGCTTCAGGTGAAGCCTGAGCTCAGAGCACAATAGGTACACCTGAATAGGGATATTCAGAGGACACAGAGCAGGTGCCAAGACGAGACCTGCTTGTTTGCAGTTGTGCAGGGCATTCTTAAAGGCACAGCCCTGCCCATTCATCTGTGTAACCAGCTTAGGCAGGCAGGCAAGTCCCTCTTTTTTAAACTCATTAAAATAACTGTGGGATGAGGACCCTGTTTGGCTGTGTTTTGGTAGATTTTTCAGGCCAGAGGCTTCCCCGAAGCTGGGCTACCTCTCCCACCATCTCATCTCTACTTCCCACCCTGCAGGACCCTCTGTCAGGTTGTCTGTATGGTCAGAGCCACCCGTGCCAGCACATCCATCCCTGCGGCCACACTCCCCTGCCCAGTGGACAGCTGCACAAACACAGGGGCTGGCAGGAGGCAGCTGCAGGGTGGCAGGGAGAAGGCAGAGCCTCTGCCTTCTTATGCTGGCATGGCTGCAAAAATATTTTCACAGGACAAGTAATCTTAACCCCTGGCAGCCTGGGTACTCTGAGCTCTATAAAACCCAAGAGCATGACAAACCCCAAGCACCCTCAGTCCTCAGTGGAGGGGATGGATGTTCAGGGCTGAATGCCAGGCTGGGGGTGTTGGCCACAATTTCCATTGGCTTGCCTGGCTCCAGCAAGCAAAGATCCTGCAGTGCCCATCCAGAGAGGCTCAGTTAGTGCTCACTCAGAGCAGCCAGACCGGTTTAGAACATGACTGCATGAACGAGCACAGCACGGCTGTAACAGGAGACCAAGTGGGATCCCAGAGAATGGGAGGTAAGGTGATAGCTGCAGGTGGCTGTGGCTCCCAGCACAGCTTATTTAGGCACTTGTGGGCATCATAATTACTCAAAAAGCTGAGAAATTAAGTGACAGGCTTACATGGATACTATACAAGTACCTAACATCCCCTGCCTTGATATTATGTTGATGCTGTCAGAGCTGGTTGTAATTTCTCTTGTGTTGCACAATTTAAGATATGAGTTTTTCCCCCTACCTTGTCCTCCCTTCCCCCAACGCTCTCTTCGTATGCTAGAGGTGGTTTTTGGTGTCCTGGCCTGTGCCTGTGGCACTGGGGAATGCTGTGGGACTTTCTCCTTGGTCTGTGTTGTGTTCTTTTCCTTCTTTTTTCTTTTCTTCAGCATTTAGTATATTACCAGAGCTTACATATTTTTAGATAATGGGGACTAAAGAATACAGAATATAGAATAGAGAATGAACCTTGATACAATTGATAAAATTCCTAAATGTAATTTTAATCTCTGCAATTAGCATTGTTTTTACAGGATGTGAAATGTTTTACAAGATGATTGTTTTTACAGAATGCAGCAGCAATTGTAGAAAACAATTTTAAAATATGCTTGTTTTGAGGCACTTGTAGCTTGTAAATAAAAACCACTTTCTTCAATTTTCCTAAAAATAGTTTTTACTATTATCAGGCTATTAAAACACACTGTTCTGAGGAAAATATTGCTCCAAGCTGTGCTGGAGCAATATACTGTAACTACATCCATATCTTTTTAGTGTTTTGCATACCTGCTACTGATCCATGCTTGAGGTCCACAAAAATTCAACTGAAAATAAAACTTGCAGCCACCATCACTTGCTCCCCTGTGTGGCAAAAGCAGCCTTATGTAAGAGACTGGCAATGACAGGTAGGCATACCAGAGAAAAATCTAGACTTGGTGTGAATTGTTCATACCTTTGCTGACATCTCTGGTGATGTGCAGGCAGAGCACACTAACAGGGTTGGGTGTTCCAGGTGGGGCAGAGCACAGTGTGCTTTCATCTGGTATATACTGACTATCCAAAATAAGTACACTTCATCTCCTCTGCGACAGAAAGAATTACATTCTATCATCACCAGAAATAAAATGCTATGCCTTGACTATTTGTATAATAAGCAAAAAAATAACTAAAGCCTGTTTGAATGTTTGTAAATGTACAAGTCAATTTTAAAATGCATAAAATAGTCCTTGAATGGATTTGGGCTATGATAATACTATATCTTTCTGCTTGTAGGACAATAATCCTTATTATGCCTTATTCTAAAGTTTCTTCTGTTCTTGCTTTGACAAAGCCAGATTGAAGCAAGAGTGGCAGGGCAGAGTGGGTGCTGGCATCTGTGAGACACATAGCCCTTAGTGAGCAGAAAACGGGTCGGAAGTGATAGTACTTCTGCATCTACAACTGTCATAAAGCTGCTGAAAGCAGATCCTGAGAATCTCTATGTGAAATAAAACCAATGCACCACAGTGCAAAGAAGGTCTGTATTTAAAATTACCCTCTAACCTTTCTGCTCTCTCAGTCATAGGGAAGAATTTCCCCGAAGCAGAGACCAAGACCAGAGCAGAAGCAGAAGAGAACTGATGGCTGGATGGCAGGGAGAGACAGAGTGGACTGCCTGGAGGTGGGAGTATCCCAGACTCGATCCAGATGAAGAAATAAATGATGACTCTGAAACATAACACGGGGTTTATCATGACAGGAATGAAAGGTTATAAAGACCTAAACTGTTTATATGTATGAGAGCATAATGGTCCTTGTCATCGATGTGGTGTTGAAAGGAATGGCTTCCATCTAGGAGATGCAGAAAAACACAGGAGATAAATTTCAGCACTAGTAACAGTTTAATGGAGTAAGAGGAAAATCCTTGAAAAAGAGGATGAATATGGAAATTAGACAGGGATGACACTGTAATAATTTAAGTGTAGCATTTGGCAGCAGAAGTATCATTCAAGGAAAAACAAACAACACTAATCAACATCAGATGTATTGATATTTTAAAATAGATTTTATTTAATGACAATAAATATAAAAGAAATCTTAATATTTAAAAATGAATTGCAAACATTCTTAGAAAAAATACAAAAAATACACCGTTACATTCTGAATTTTATTGACATACAAGGAGTCTAAAACAGTGGTGATAGTCTGCAATTTATGGTGCTTGTTAAGGCAATGAAATGGTCACTGGTCCAAATTCACCCTGACTTCAACAGATCTGTACAAAGTAGGAATCTGGCCTACATACCAAGTGTAGAAAAAAGGTAAAATGGATTCAGACTTTAAAACAAATGCTGATTTTCCCTTCAAGCAGATCTTTAATTAAAGTGACCAAGCCTAAAAATAAAAAAAAAAATACAAATACTCATTTGTTGGCAACTGGTCCCCAGCATTTTGTTCTTATGCCTCTGCAGAGCTTCCTGCGTGCAAGCAGAGCACATTTCAGCAGCTGGAGGTAGAGGCTTCAGAAACTGCACAGCTTAAATGAAACTATTAAAATGCAATTATTAGGCACTGTGTTGGTTTCCCTCTTCTTTCTCTGATTCAGAACTCTGCTGTGAGTAACACTGAGCACATGGCAAACTGAACTGAATTCCTGATGTAATGTCTTCTGAAATGAAATGTTACAGCCACATTAGCATAGAGCATGGCATTTCAGAAGCAAATCACTAGAGCAAAAAGTTAATGCTGGCTAGGTGATGCCCATGCAGAGCTCACCACTCTCTTCAGCCCAGCTCTGGTTTCAGCTCTGAGGACTAAGTGCCTGTCAGTCACCATTAAATGCATATCTAAAAGCTGCCTTCTGGGTCAGTTTGAGGCAGAAGGAACTCAGTCCATGTGTGCCCAGACTAGTCTGTGATGTCTCCCAGAATATGGAGACAAGTGGAAGACCGGTTTCAAAAGCACATTTGTCATCTGAACAAAAAAGGTTACATAGGAGCACACTCAGAGCTGATTTAGGATTTTATTACGGGAGGAGCCCAAGCCACAGCACGTAGGCTTTGCCGATGTAGCAGGTTTTTTAATTGTTATTTTAAAGGCAGGAATATAAACTCTTTATGACACTGAGAGCTAACTCTCCCTTTAGGAAATGATGCCAACTGATGTATGAAGAAACAACTTGGAGAGTCCCCAGGTATTAAACAGGGAGCAAAAGTCTAGGCACTCCTGAAAATCAGCCTTAAGCTCTGCCACTGCTCACAGTATAACAATTCGTTTGTTTCATAGTCTCTTTAATTCTCAAAGAGCTTCCTTAAGACCAAATAATTACCTGAAATGGTCCATTTTGTGCTGCATTCTCCCCCCTTCATCACAGGATGCCTCCTTACCTGCCCCAGCCCCCTACCACCACACCTGGAAAGGTATTTAAGGCACACTTGTGCTGTGATCACTAAAGAGGAAATACAAATGGCATCTCTCATCAAAACACAACTGCAAATGAGAAAGGTCCAGTTGAAAGCTAACACCAAAAGCTCCAAGTATGAAAGGAGCTGACTGCCCTTTCTAACCCAACTCATTTTGCACAGGGAAATCCAGAGTACTTCATTAAATTGTTCCTTGAAACGTTTTTTTGGACAAAACTTTGTTTTAACTGAAAGTTTGGTATATTGTGCAGTGACAGGACCAGAGGCAGTGGGCACAAACTGAAACACTTTTTCACTGTAAGAGGGATCAAGCAGTGGCACAGGTGGCCCAGAAAGGTTGTGGAGTTTCTGGAAATATTCAAAAGAAGACCAGTCTGGCTGAACAGAGAGTTTTGGCTGGAGCACAGGTGAAAAAGGAGAGTTGATGGCCTTTGGAAGAAGGGGCAGACAGCTCAGGAAGATTAATGGTTGGAGGTTATGCAGGGAGAAAATTAGAAGGGCCAAACCCCAACTTAATCTGGCTACTGTTGCAAAAGCCAGTAATAATGTTTCTATAAACATATTAGCGACAACAAGAGGGCTAAGGAGACTCTCCATCCTTCATTGGATGTGATGGAAAACACACAGACAAAGGATGAGGAAAAGCCTGAGGTACTTGATGCCTTTTTTGCCTCAGTCTTTATTAGTAAGACCAAGTTCTCTGAGAACCCAGCCCCCTGAGCTGGGAGACAGGGGCAGGGAGCAGAATGAAGCCCTTGTTATCCAAGGGGAAATGGTCAGTGACCTGCTACACCACTTAGACAGACACAAGTCCTCAGGTCCCAATGGGTGCTGATCTGCTCACAGCTTGGGCAGACCTACTGCTTGCTAGGTAAAAGACTGGCTGGATGGCTCAGCTCAGAGTGGTATTTAAAGACATGTAGGTGTGGCACTCAGGGACATGGTTTAGTTGTGGATTTGGCACTGTCAGGTTAATGGCTGGATTTGATGATCTTAGAGGTCTTCTTATGATTCTATAGGGTTTGCTTCAAAAGACAGGCTTGAGTTACACAACACTCAGTGTTTGGTGACCTTAATGCAAAATTCATAGGTTTAATTCCTTCTGATTATTGACTGGATAAAATACATCTTCTAAATGCTATTTACTTTTTGTAAATGGACTTCATATGTAAAAAGCTATATGAATAATCTGCCTAAAAATTATGCATATCTATTGCATTTCAGAAGAGTACAAAATTTCAAACATAATCACCTGGTTTATAAACTACAGGTATATTTTGCTTTTTTAAAAAGGTTTTGGTTTTCATGATTTATATAATTTGGTCCATTAAAACTATTAAAAGAGAAAGCAAGTTAATAATCTGCAATATCAATGCTTCAGGCACAAAATAACCCTCCACATACATGCCTAATCTGTAATTCCCTTATTCCCAGTTTGCAGCTGGATCCAAAATAAACAATCAGATCGGCAGACTGATTAGAAGATGAGTGATGGCTGTAGCACGTGCCTCCACACCTCTGACATCCATCTGTATTATTTAAAGCTTCATAGCATGGTTAAGGCCTATTAAATGGTTTATTCCAATCTCCAGTTTCAATAGATTCATAGTCTTGTCAGAATTCACTTTATCACACAATGTTGTATCAAAATGTTCAGCTGCACATTCGTCCTATGTCAAAACCTCAGGGAAGAGCGAGCACGTTCTGGTGTGAGAGAAATGCAAAAGACAGCCCTCCACAAATATTGATTTAGTATGTGAAAAGACTTTTAACACTTATTGCTTTTACAGGTACAAGACCTTCAAGGCTATGAGCATTTAGCTGAGAATGGGCGAGTGAGCTAATGAAAGTACATTGACTGGGGGAAGATAAAATGCCTGAGTTTTCTACTCACTTGGAGTGCTGTAAGGTCAGTTTGTATGCATTGATTTCAAAGGCCATTCTCCTGTTTACACAAAGATTGATGAACAGGATGGGCTTACAGTCCTGTTGCTCCTTGTGATCCAAGTCCATGATTAATTGAAATATCTTGTTATCCATTTAAGTCTCAGTATGCATAGTTAATTCAGAGTAGCAAACAACCACGCTTAGTATGTCAATTCCAATGGCTTAACAATGGGATTTTGAGTTGTATTTTCTTTCTTTTTCTTTCACGTTTTGGCTTTTCCTCTTCATTTTATAGCAGAGGTTTGCATTAGCAAGCAATCAAAATTCCTTCATTGGATGCGATGATATCCTTACAGTAAATCATTCTTGTTCTTAAGGTTTTATTCAAGTCACACTAGTCATCTAATAGCTGATGCCTAAAAAAAGTAGAAAGCAGCCTAGGTGCTTGGGAATTAATCTGCATCTTCTTAAGAGGTGAAATAATTTTTACCCTTTTTTATTTATTTTTTTTTTAATATGTCCTAAAAACCAGTTTAAAAAAATGATAACTCTCATCTGCATTGCAGTGGTTGCATTTTTCCAAGGGAAACTGGTAAATGAGTAAGTAAGAGGTGCAAGAAACAATATTTAGTAAATCCAAAGTGCTTGATAGCTATTGGTAGTATATGGACAGATATTAGTTGTCTAAATACTGTTATTCCATATGAAAAAGTACTTATTCTTCTTTAGGTCGGAAAGTGCTCTCTGGTCCTCTGATGATTTTGTTGGCTATTTTGCCCATGTTCTTTTTCACACCTTTGAGATCATTCTCGTGTAATAGTTTCTGTGTGAGGTACTTCTCTCGTTTGACCTTGCTCTTGGTCTTCTGTGATACATCCGGAATTGCATATGAAATAATAAACTTCACAAAGTATATGACATGCTGTGAAAGGTGAAAATGAAAAAATGTCAGTCAGGCTGACCAGGACATTATTCTGATTATAAATGAAATGACACTTTTTGTCTTAAGACTCTATGGTGATTCAGTATTAGTATCTAACACAGTAGAAAAAGATTTTAAAAAGATATGACTAATAAGATAGAATAATTATCTGATAAACAAAAAATTCTGATTTTCCAATCCTGATTTGAGCAAGGACTTCTCTGGCTGCTTTGGGGAAACCCTGGAACACATAATTTCCCTCCTGCTTGGAAACACTGGTTAGTTTCCTGTAAGATTTTTAGGTTTGTTCAAATGACTCTGGGACCATTATATTTCTCTGATACAGGAAATCTGCTTTAACCAGTTTTGATGACTTCAGTAGTCCCTGGATCAGGCCCTAAATACATTTTACAATTAAATAATACCTAGTATTTATCTCTCTTCATCTTGGACTGATTCCCATCTTTCATAAACCCAGGCTGTAGCTGCAGAGGAAGGAGCAATTGCTTTTTGATGATCATCTAGAGACTCACTTCTTACAGTGACTGTCTTTTTAGACTTGACTCTGCCACGTATTGTACCTGTATTATGTACATGTATTACATAGAAGTACCATGCATGCAGGACACTGTGTGCAAACTTCCTCTAAGTACATGTATTCTATTTCTGCTACTAAAAATTATTCTACAGTTCTTGAGAAAAGAATTTGTGGGGCAATCCTCAGCTGATGTCATGATTTCAGGGAATTCTTTTTCCAATGGTGCTACTCTTAATTTCCATCTCCCAAGTTCTTGCTCATGCTGGCACACATCACCAGTGCTGATAGCTGTGCCTGGACTGAATGCCTCGGAAGGATTTTCCGCAGGGAGGGAAGAGATTGAACAAGCAATGCTCAAGCAGAGCCCATACACTGACCTCCATGACAATGATGAAAGCCAGCTTGGCTGCAAGGACATGCCAGTAGTATATGTTGTGCTCATACTGGTGCTGGTGGCCAGGAGGGTAGCGGAGATCCCGGTATCTGAAAGCAATGCAGGAAAGTCAGGAGCTGCTCTCTGGCATCTCTGCAGTGCGGCTCTCTGGCCAGAGGATGGAGCACGACATGGCCCTGCTTAATGTGTCCAGGAACAGTCAGCTCGGGGAGCTACTGTGATGGGTAAAATCATATCTGCAAGATAAGCCACATTTGGCTGAAATGTTGTAGTTTTTCCCATTTTATTAAGAATTACTGACAAAAATTTTAAGGTGTTTTTTTTTGGGAAACAATCAGCTAGGATGAAGCCAAATTAAAATAAGAATTTTCTGAGTATCACATAATTATGGGTGAATACTTCCACTCTATTCTGCCATTCAAAATAAGCTGAGTTTTCCTGTGTTCTAATGTTTCTTATGGGATATTGTTAACTGAATTAGAGAGCTTAGATATAAAAACCATTATTTTTGTAACTGGAAAATGACAAATGCTTATTTGACACTTGCCTGCATGTCATTTGGTTCCCAAACCAAGGGGAAAAAGGTCTGCTTTCATTCTTGAAGTCTGATATATTGAAGACAGAAAGTGTGCTGTTTATATACCCCTTCATAGTGTGGCTGCTGTGACTCCCATAAGGAGGGACTGAAAAGGACCAGTAATAAACCAGGCGAGGAATCATGTCAGATGTAAAAGCAATGATCATAGCCTGCATTTCAGAAAGAGAAGGCAAAAAAGCAGAGCAGCATTAAAGAAATAAGCTTTAATATGCATTCCTTTGCCATATACTTATCATCTCAAAAGTTAGCATATGAGCTAAAAATAGAAAATACGTTCTTTTCCCGTCAGTGGTTGTTCATTCTGTAAATGAGCATGTAGTCTCTCATGGGCACAAAACAATCCCTTTCTGGCATGTGCACTCTGTACAGTTGCTAAATTATGCTAGCTCTGCTGAATGCCTTAAAACATCTATACTATAAACCACTTTCTTCATGTGCATGCAGAGGAGATCAGCAAATGTGCTTCTTACGAGTACTTATGAGATGCTTAAAGAAATTCTGCCTGATGAAACTAATGGAAACAACAGAAGAGTTCTTCAGTAATAGAAAATTAAATGTCACCAGGTTCTCCGACGTCTGAGCAAAGGAATTAAATAAATTAGATATATAACTGATCCGTCTCTGATCCTAGAAACATCCCACCCTTTCAGAGGTGCTAGCCAGCCCAAATTCATCTTGGTACTTGTTGCCTCCTACTATAGTGCAGTACATGTGGAAACTGCTCTTGATGCCAAGATAATTTTTTTTTTAGTAGCAGCTGCATAGTGCTGTTTTACATGACGTGACCATTTGTTTTTATCTTGCTCCCAAGAGAGTCCCTGTCCCACTCAGTCTGCTAGTCACAAACTGGGTAGGAAATATGATCTGTGGGTTTGTTGTGGGAAGTCTTTTCTAAACTCATGAATTTCCCAAAACATCCTATTCTGGAGGACGGGTTAACTATGTTTAATCCAATTTCCTCCTCTGCTACTCCAAGTTCAAAAGGTTTCCCTATGAGGAAGACTTTCCACTGGCAAGATCTGCAGCTGAGTATTTAGCAAGAGGCTGCCCAGCCAGCTCATGACAACAGGCGTCTCTGGTGCCCAGCGCCTGGGAAGGAGTGACTAGCTGCACTCCAGGACTGAAAGAGAAGTGTTTTGTCCCATATCAGGATATAAATACCCACTTGACAACATGGATGGAAAGAACCAGGGCAAAGACATGGAGGAAAAAGGTGTGAAGTAGAGATCTGATGAGATCAGGAGGAAGAAGGTTTAGGCAGAGACGTATAAAAGAGGCAGAAAAACCACAGGAGAATCGTGGTACAGAGTTAGGGGCAAAGTCAGTGGGTAACAGAGGAGCATAAAAACTGGTTAATATCTGTATTTATTCCCCACCATGCTAGTCTGCAATTCATGAAGTCTGTATTTCCTTATTTTGATGACATGGGAAAAAAAATTTCCATTTTTGTGCAGCATTCCCAGCCAGCCAGCCAGTGTCAGCCTGAGGAGGCATTTGTAACAGTTGTAGAAGAAGGGAAGGGGAGAGAGGAGAAAGGGTGAAAAAAAAATGTGGGTACCTCCTCTACAGTTCCTTGGAAAATACTTTGGTGGCAGTGCTAGCTAAAACAACCTCCTGCCTCTGCCTCTAGCAGTTGACTCGAGCTCTGCACTGGCTTGGGCATTTCTGGGCCCATGCAGCAGATCAGATGGCAATGCTGATCTGACTGGGAATCACCACTGGATCCTTTCCCTGGTCTGATTCATCATGTCTTTGTACAGTGCTGGTGCCAGCACAATGCAAGAGACAGGACTGAGGGAGAAAGACAGGGAGTTGAAAAGGGGACAAGACCCACCCTACCTCAAGTAGCACCACTGCCAAATGATGAATGATATCCTAGTGTCTTATCTTTTGAAGAACCTGAGGAGGTGCACTGTAGTTAAGATAAAATTTGCAGAAACAATCCTTTTGAGACTATGGTCCCAGACCTGCATTTATTTCTCCAGATAATTGTTACAAGTGAATTCAGTTGAGAGAAAGTTTGGCTGATGACAAATAACAGGGAGGCATCCTAGGTCTAAAACTCACTGAAAATTTTCAAGGAGAAGGTGTTTTTCTTGTACTGCACTTTGGCTTAGATCAAATGTAGTTGGCATGCACTTTTAAATACTGTTTTTAAGCATTACATGCCAGTGCGAAATGAAGTGAAAATTATGTGTTGTTTATATTTACATGCTGAGTAGGTGTTTTTGACTGACAAGAAGTAGATATTACTGTGTCTTGCACTTGCAGGGAGACGACCTCACAGCTAAATTACTCTGTTTTTAACTCTGAAGTAGAGTTAAAAGTAGAGTACAAGTAGAGTATTTGTAGTCTGAATTACAAGCATAGAAAATTTTTGTTAAATAAATTTTCTTTCTGTTCATTAGCTCATCTAGTCAGACCATAAATGAATTAATATCAACTTATCAATAAGCCAGAATAATTCCTTCTCCCTTTGGACCAAATGAGTTTGATGCTGCTTCCTTGTATCAGAAAGACTCTGGTACAGAGCTGAATACTTGATCTTACAGAATCTTTTCTGAAAGGCCCCAGGTCTCTCATCATCCTAAATCTGAACCCTATCTCACTCTCCTCCCTTTCTCAGAATGATCTCCAGATGTGCTCCGGAGAGCTTCAAGGACAGAAATACGAGAGCTAATCCTACGGCATCCTCTCAAAGGAAAAACTTTTTTCCTCTTGAATTATGGGCTGCATTTCAGAGTATTGCACTGGAGAACTACAAACAAACAGCACATTCTTTGCTTCCCAAGCTTTACTGCACACAGGTTTCCATTTATACCATAACTAATTAAAATCAGTCTTCAAATCAACAACAGATGCAATAGCAAGTCCAGTGCCTCACGGCAACTCTCAAAACTGGTAGCTCTGTGCAAAAATTGCTTGCAAGTACTAGCAGCTGTTACAAAGGTAACATGCATGAAGGAGAAGATGCACGAAGGAGATGATACACTACCCAAGGATAATCAGCCGTAACAAGTCATGTAGAAGAGAAGGAACCCTTTCTGGGTACTAAGGTAAAATCAAGGCAGGGTTGGTAAAGGAAAGACTGATGACTTGGATCGGTTCCTGGATGTCAAACAAGAAAAGAAACACACTTAAAGGAGGAAAACAGCTTCTAGCATTTGCTCAAGCACATGGCTTTATGGCCCACACTTCATTAGCAATAAATACCAATCTCTTTGAGGTCCTCACAGCATGTGCAGAGGGGCTGTTTGAATGTGGCAGACTCTGACTGAGCCCCTCGCACGCCAACAGCCCCACGGAGGTGAGCGGCCGATGTTCTGTTTGCACACTGACATCAAGTGTGGAGAGCAGGGCACAAACACATTCCTAACACATGGCCTGGTCAACATGAGGTCACCAAAGCCACTTCAAAACTGCCCTGAATACCATGAAAACTGTGATAAGGTACAGTATTTTAAAGTAATCTTAATGTTCAGCTTCTACTTTCATATTGGTATTACAAGATCCAGCTGGACTGACCAGGAAATAGAGTTGTCCAATAGCATAACATATTTGGATCTCTCTGATAACAGAAGAAAACAGCGACCTTGTTGAGAAAGGCTATTCCACATGGATAGTCTGTGGCGTTACTGTCCCTCCAGAGGAAACCAGTGGTCACTACTCCTTTAAAAAAGGCCAGCAGCAAGAATTTTCTGTTAAATTAATACATACTAGTTACTGTTCAAGAATAAGCAATCAAATAATCCACAATGACATAAATAACAACGCCATATTTTTCTTCCCACAATGCAACCTACAAATGAAATTTTGGTGGTTTGATACAAAGAATGTGAAAGGTCTGAATTTCATTGTTAGAAGTATATTAATCAGAATGTTTTTCTTAAATATTTTCAAGAAACTCTCTTAAAATTCAGTTTCTTCATTGTGTACTTAAAAAAAATTAAGTACAACTGAAGCACAGGTTAGTGTCCAAATTCTCAGACAATTCATTCTGGTCTGCAATTTTGAGCACACGTGGTATTTTTAAGTACACAAGAAAGAAGCTGAATTTCTGTTTTAAGAAGATGGGCCTTATAAGGATCATTTCGGTTGCACTGCCACGCACAGTATTCCCACATTTGGATGCAGCACCTGCAGTGAAGGCACTTTATCTCTTGCAGCTGTTGGCACTGTACTTACATTGGTGACCACGGCCAGGATGGCTATGCCCTGCAGGATGGGCTGCCAGGCGCCAATGTCCTGTGCCTTCTGCGGAACCATGCGCCTGAACTGCGTCGTCAGCTTCCACGCATCCAACCGGATTTCCAGCATGTTGTTAATAAGGGCCAGGAGAGGAGCCAGGGGGAACGATGCCACAAACAGGGTCACAAAGCCAAACTGTATAACTGTGAAAGGGAGAGGTTGCATGCATTGATGAAGCTTTCACTTACTGGAGATAAGCAAGTGTAGACATGTATAGCTTATATAAGCCAAATTCAGATGGGAGAAACAAGAAAGAGTAGCTGGGTTCCTAGGACATCTTCTGGATGAGAAAATAGTAGCACAATAGTACTGAAAAACCTGCTAGATGAAGGGGACAGGAAAATATTACAAATCACAACACAGCATGAGGAACTATTCTGGGTATTCAAATATCCAGAATCCTGTGTATTCTTTCTGACGTCTTTATCATGAGGAAATCTCATGACTATCTGTCTCCGTACCGAACTGGAAGGCCCAAACCAACACTCAAGTCCACTGGCAATGCTGTCACAGAATGGATGGTGGCAACAAACCAGCCATGGCCTGCCAGCTCCCAGGTTACCAGCAAAGAGTCCTGGTGACTGTAGCCCCCCAGAAGAGCAGTGTGACACCGGGCTCTGCTGTGCTACACCACAACATGACAGGGGGCTGCCTTCTGAATGCATTTCTCACAGGATTAGGCAAGGAAGTGGCAGTACTCCTCCTTGTACAACCACATGCTGTTTCCTGGTTATAAGATGGATTAAGGCTTAGCTGCTTAATAAAAGCTTGTAAAACCATCTGTAATGGCTCAATCTAAACTTGTCTGAGAAAACATTAATGTCTCCTCTGTCCACCATATTAAGCATTGCTTGTATGAAGATTTTCTTTAGAACATGTCTGTATCCAGCAGCAGCACTGAACCCAGACTAAAAACAGTTCCTTACCCATTTCAAGATACTCATAAAATAGTCCAAGTTTTCCAAAGGGTTGGAGGTGGTAGTCATGTTCCCAACGTGGAATAACTTTTTCTGATCTAGCAGCTGCAGAATATCTTCCAATTAGATTCTTGACCAAACTATCAGACAGGAAGAAAAAGAACACTGACATTGGTAAAAGAATCTAAAAAGTGAAGATGAAAAAACATTTGGCATTTCTCATGTTACAGGTTTGATCACTGGATGTATTGATTTCTGAATTATTCAAAACTTCCTTCCTTTTGTTGCCTTATCCTAAAAGTGGGTTTTTACAAACCATAAATAAGAGTGCAAAGGGGCAATATACCAGAATCATAGTGATTTATATTTACTAAATGAAAGTAGTAACTTACACATGACATTTAAAAGCCCAATGTATAACAAATCATTCCAATCAATATTGAGCAAGTCTTCAGTTTAAGATTCTCATCGCTTCTACTATCTCAGTTTTGAATATTCAACCTGAAACACATTGTGTTTGACTTGCAGAGGAAGGAAGAATTTCTGATTAGAACTAAAATCAGTTAAAACAACAGAGAGAGGAGCCCAGACTACTAGTCCAAAAAAGGCTCCAGGACAAGTTCTTTCAGAACACAATATACACTTACCAAACTCAGTAGCAAGTGCCTGAAGGCATCAAGCGTTTTTCAAATATGAAAGAGCCGATTACTTAATAGTTTGAACTTACGGAACAAGAACTTCTTGAATGTTGTTCCAGATCGCTTTCCCTCCTACTATGATGGCAAGCTGGGTTGTGAGCTCAAGGAGACATCCACCTGGATCACACTAAAGGTTGGGAGAGACAGGAAAGTTTTTTGAAGTTGATTAACTTTTCAGGCATGACTGAAGCATTTAAAATTATGCATTCCTGGTTTATTATAATAACATTACTGAAAGCAGTCGAAGAAGACTGTCTAGGCAAACCTTTCCAGTAAGGTGTGCAAAAGCCAATTCCAGGCCACATACTGTAGGCTGACGGAATACCAGTGAAAGAGTGAAATTCCAGGTGAAGTCATGCAGCTGTGTGCTACCACCAGGTGAAGGTCACCCAGCAAAATAGGAACACTTCTCCTGATGGTCTCTCCTTTCTGTGTGCCCAGTCACAGATTGTAGGACCACGGTAAAATAACCCTTTTCTGGGTATGTGGAATACCACAGTTCTAACTGCAACTGGTCTTGCACCATATTCCTTTATGCCAGGGGTTAGTGAGGAGGCCATTAGCTTGGGAGGCAGCCACTCTTTAAAACCTAATGTTAGATATGTACAACTATGTTTTACTTTATACACTCCTAACTTCAGATTAGTACCCAGTACCCAGATTAATTATACATTCTACATTCTTACCTCTTCATTGCGGTACTTTCCTAGCCAATAAACTGGACTTCCAGGGTGACCTACAAATTTACCCTTAAAGAAGGCTATGTAGAAACATGAAGAATAGTAGTTGACAAACTGGAACAAGAACATCTTTGTGGTCAGACTGTTTTCATAATCAGTCTGTGTCCTTGGAAGTTCTGTGATGGAAGAAAAGGAAATAAACTAAAAAAAACAAACAACCCAACCTACAAGTAACCTACAAGCTGTTCTAGAGCTTCACCTGCAAGGTATCTGTATGCCTCATATTCCTTTATATGACTGAGAGCATTATCATTTAGATTGTTCATAATCCCCATGTATACTGTAACCATTATATAATTCTAAAACTGTATGGGTTGTAAAAAGAAAATAACTTGTTCCCTGACAATAAAGAAAGAGAAGAAGCAAAAATTCTAATAACTCAGGGGAAGAAAAAGCACCCAAATCCAGCAGACTCAGGAAAGATGCAAATGTAACACTCTGAACTGATGAAACAGTATTAACTGAAAACACCACACTACTTCATGAATCTAAAGTAAAATATTTACTTTAATGTTGATGGCCTGGATATAGAGAATAATATTATTTGTGACTGTTTATCTGTTTAACAACATCAGAGTGGTATGTAGCTTTGGAATGGTGACCTTATTTACAACAAAATAGCTACTTTCCCTATAAACAAAAGCTAATATAATTGAATGTGTTATGCCTTACTGATCTGTTTTCATAAAGCTTGGTTGTTGTAGTTATTTTCTTTGCTTTGTATGTTTCACAAGCACAAAACTGTAAACAATTGATCTTTCATGCTGTCCTTGTAAGGACTTCTCAGGCAAAGAGCTTAATATCATATTTCTCTGATATTGAGAGAATCTATATTGGAAAATATCTAGGTGGTATTGTCTGATTTTGTGGGAAAATTCTGAAAGATGTGGTGCAGGTTCATTTATTGTAATACCTACTACACATTTAAATGCTGATTTTACTAGGTATTTTACCCCACACTTCCATCTGAGGTATAGCAGCAGCATACCGAAGTCAGTGATCAGGATTGCCACTTTTTCATAGATGATGTTGAGAATCATAATGACTACAAAGCTGATGAGCGAAGCCGTTACTGACGTGGCCGTCTGTGGAGTCAGGTACTTGCGGATCACCTCCGTTCCACTGATGTGCTGCGACAACTTGGCAGAGAACACCAGGAAAACTGAGAGCCTGTAGACAATGATTCCAACAACTGAAGCAATAATCAAAAGGATCTGCCAAGGGAATGCAAGAAAGATGCTCATGTTCAACCACTGGAGCTAGGAAAAAGTGAGTTCAAAACACTTTTTATGATAGGCAAAAGGAAAGCAATTTTGTGCCTGTCATTCCACTGCAAGAGGATGATCAAATAAGATACAAAGCAATAAATAGAGAATCCATAAAAGAAGCCTTTTTTTCATGTAGCATAGTAAATCTAGGGGAAAGAAAAGAGATGGTCTGTTTTATGACTAATAACAAGGTTTGTACTGATGTAAACCAATATAACTATAATATAAATCTTGCACCTTGAGGCATGTGATGGGAGAAAACTCGTCATATTGGACAATTGGCAGGATGGCAAATGTACTAGGGAGTCTATATTGATTATGGAGGGGGCTGCACCTTCTCTTTCACATGATACTGCTACAGACTGTAGCCTGACCCCTCAAAGGAATAGAAAAATTTTAAGGCACGTCATGTAGTCGGCAGGAGTTGCAATAATGATCCAGGTACCCCATGTTGCTTGCCATCTCCTCTTTCTGCTTCTCTTCCTGCTTTTATTTCTTGCTAGTTCTCTAGCTATTATTCAGTTTAAGGTTCATAGGCTGTGTATCTTTTTTTCACTATCTCAGCAAACTGCCTTGAACTACCTTCCCTGACCCCGCACACAGTAACTGTGCAGTAACACAAGTGACAAACCCAGAACAAATCTCTTCCCTCCAAAATGAAGTCTGGCCTATTTAAATCCAACTGCAGATCAGTATTCTTTCCTCTGTGTTTCAAATGTGTCAATGCTGAGGCTCTCCTGTGCTGCCAGACACCACTCTATCTCCTATCTGCATCCTATCACCAGGAATGAGGTCTTTTCCAGCTGCTATTGGTGCTACAGAAGAGGAGGACCTGCAGCATGCTAAAACACAGAGCTTTTCAAGGCAATCTCTCTGGGCCTGCTCATTGTGTTATATATTGTGTCATGGTTGACTGGACTGCTTTCAAGGTTTAGTTTTAATTAAAGTAGCAGCTCTGGAAGATTAAAGAGCACACAGCTTTGCTCTGTTAAGTGAAACACAAAACCTGAAAGAGGTCGTGGACTGTGAAACACAATATGGAAGAACACAGCTGGAACAAATCAGACAGAAACTAGGAGGGAGGAGAGCATATAAACCAAAGTCTTCCCCTTACTGCCCCTCTAAAAGCAAAGACATTTGTCTTAAAATGATGAGGGAAAAACCAATGGACCACCTTCACAAGCATAACTCACAAGCTACAGCTGCAGGGTGTTTTGATACTGTATGCTAATGAGTATTGGGTGATTACAGCTACCTTCTCCATTTGGGCCCATACCTTATGGGCTTGATTTATGCATGAGATGGAAATCTGACTCAACCTGTTCCATTCTTCATTTTTTGTTCAGTTCAGAAGGATCATTTTTTAGACACTTACTAGAAAAGTGAATTTATGAGGGAAGCGAATAAAAGAACTTTACCCAGAAGAAGATGGCACTTGTACAGAAAGTCATCCGTACGCACTTCCCACATGCAGTGTATGGCACATGTTCTTCTTCCTGTAAAAGATTAAGAAACAGATCAGGGATGCACACCATCTTCTTCCCTTTTTTTTTTTTTTTTTTTTTTTTTTTTGTGTGCTCCAATTAAACTCTTCATTGTACTGAGGGAAGAAAAAAAAGAAAAAAGTACCTTGTTTTATTTCCTGGAAACTCAACATTTATTAATTATTTCAGAAGTCTTGACTGATTACAGGTGGCTTTTTTGCTGCCCCTTCTAAGATAAAAATGACTTCCATAGAGGTAGAGGGTCCTCAGTTTTTATTGACTTCAGCCATGATGGAGTGCAGTCCTTTTGAACTGACCCATCCTTCTTGGCTGATCATGGCATCCAAGGTCATTATCTTTCAAACTTTAATGGTTAAATTTAGCAGGCACTAAAATTTTGGTCCTTGATCTCTGTATTTCTCAATGTATTCCATAAGAACAATGGGATGGCTTCCCCAAGGAAAATGACTACCTCAGTGTGGTACTGTGAAAATTCACTGAATCTTTAAAAAATCTCTGAGGATCAAAATAAAATATTTTAGCATATTCTTCACTCTTTGAACTATCTGAAAGGAACTTTCTAGCTATGACTTTATATAGTCAAGGTGGCATAGGTTTATAAGCTTTTAAACAGGGTGAGTTTTTTGATAGTACAAGATATAAAAAGAAGATCTATATAGGATAGTTTCAACTATGGCAGTTAATTTTGAAACTTTTCAAGTGCCCTCTAATAAACTTTAGTATAACGTGGATGGAATGTGAAAGCAGTGCAAATGATTAGATAAAAGACAGAGTAATCTATTGACAGAGAATAATAAAAAGTGAAACTTTTATTATATAAAATTATTATATATGAGTAAGCCACCAAAGCTAAAGCTACTCAAATGTATAATAAATAGAAATCTAAACTAAGATCTTCATAAATATAAATCCTCTGTCATTGAAATGAGGTTTATCCTTGTCTCTGCAAGTTTTTTGTTATTAATCATAATTTCATCCATATGCACTTAGCAACAATAGCTATTTATACATGTTTCAAACAGAAACATCTTTGGTTAAAAAAACATTCTTGGCATCATATATAATAATGCAACGTTTCTCTCTATTCACCTTTTTTTCCTGATGCATTCCTAGGCCAAGATAGCAAATGCTCCATGATCTTGGCCTCTGGCAGCAACATTTAATAATTTCTTGGGGGATTTAATAAAGTAGACTTAGTCTTCTAAGCTGGGGACAATGTCTGATACTGTTTATTTAAGAAAGAGGAACCTCAGGAGCGGAAGGTCCTCAAACAGGCCTTCAAAGTGCTTTCAGTTAGATATCCCTTCCCTCTCCCTGCATCTGTACTTTATCAAGTCACTGTTTTCAGGCCAGCCTATCAATTTGAGGCACTGCTGATGTATGGAGCTCCAGTCCCGATTCACCATTTTCACCGTGTCTGCTCACAGCATGTCTACAGCAGTAACCATCAGTAGTTATCAGAACATTCCCTACCTGTGTGATTTCATTCATCACTACGTGAGTGCAGCGAGCTTCGTACTCCGGGCGGACTTGCTCTTCCTGCTCCAGGTACTCAACTGTGTCCCACTCGTACTCCAGCTCAGCCTGCCGCCGCTTCCAAAACTCCAAAAAAAAGGTAACTATCCAAAAGACAGACAAAATGAGTAATACCACGTGAGTACTGGATACTGCTTGACCCCTCTGGGCTGTAACACATGGTATTCCATACAGATTTTCACAGACATGGAATAAAACCCTTACTGGCTAATGCAATGGTGAAAACAACTGGATCTACTCCTTTATGCAATTATGGATTTATAGGTACTTTAATACGAGAAACCTGAGGTAAATGGTGGTGTAACCACATGCTAAAGAACGTACATACTTTATCTATGCATTTTCCTTCTGCCTAAGGCCACAGTGAGAGCACTTTGGATTTCATATTACAGACTGCTTTGAAAAAGTTTAACATGGGATGCTTAAGAAACTAAGTTGCTTGGATAGGTGAAGACAAAATGCTGGAAAGTACAGTATTTTCTAGAAAAATTAAGCTCAGTGTGCTAAAAATTGTCACAGGGAAGAGCTCATGCTCATTCACACTGCAAATTTTGTGTAGACAAATTATCAATTTGCAGACACAAAAACACTGTTTGCTCAGGTAAAACTGCTGAAATACAGCTGTCTTTCCTCCTCTGCTACTACAGCCCTGAAGAGACTTCAGCTCTTTTGTATGGCATGGAGCTTAGAAACTCCCTGGGCTGGGCCAGCCGTTTCCCTGGACTGCACTCCTACAGCTGGAAGTGCTAAGCAGTACAGCTAAACATGAATCCAGCCAAACTCATTACCTTGTCCCAAGACATTATGCAGGCAGGTCTGGCAGCAGAGGCAATGACAAACCCAGATGGGAAGGCTGGGAGGAGCTCAGGATGCTGGGTGTCAGTACCATGCCCCCTGGCATACCTGGATGTTTCATTCTTGAACAGGGTGGAGTCTTAGATGAAATGAGTGGTGTGGCTCTGCAGCACTGTTTCCAGGAGGAGTAATATCCATTCACTGCACTCTTATTGCTCTCATTGTCTGGGAGTAATTAATCCTAAAATCGGTTTGTTTCTTTTTTTTTTTTTTATTTTTTTTAACTAGTTTGGCCCCTCATTCTGAATGATGAAACCTCAGTGGCATGCAGTTACAAGTCCAAACATCAAAGATTGTGTCTAAAATCAGGTGTGGTTGAAAAATCCCAAACTGAAACATTTAAAACCCAGGAAACTCCATGGGCTGGGCTGTGAGATGACCCTGGCATCTGCAAACAGGCAACACTCCAGAAAACCCTGCTCCCCTGATTATTCAGGGGCCTCTTTCACAAGGACTTCTTTACTCCTTTTTGCTTAGGAGCAGCAAGGACATTGCAAGCAGCAGACCAGAGGGTCTCATCTGCTTTCTCCTGCAGAGCAAGGACATTAGTCTTTCATAAACCTCTAATTGCTGCCCAGCCCAAATCACAGGAATCTACAGGCTGTACTGATTTGTTCCAGCTGCAAGTTCAGCTGCTGCTGGAGAGCCCAGAAGTGCAAGGATTCCTTCTGGGATGATAGCCTCACATGCTAACTGTGACAGAAGGGCACATAACACAGGGACAGCTCTCCCAGCCCCCTGTTAGACAAGGTGTGTCTTTCAGGGTGAGAAAGGAGCTCCTGCTGGATTTGCCATTTTCCTTTTAATTTGAAACAAGATTGTTTCAACAGCAGAAATGGATGGCATTTCAGAATCAGGAGATCAAAGCAGTCATTTCACATCATGTTGAATGACGTCCTTTCGTGTGTCTCCCAACACAAGCCCCAGGCTGGCCCAGGTATTCTGCCTCTGAAGCTGTGTCAGCAAGGTCTGAGAAGAAGTGCCTCCTTTGGAGAACATTTCTTGGTTTAACTGATCTTGCTCAGAAAGGGGATCCAGGAATGGCAGCAAGTGAAGTGGAAGCTGCATCTTGTTCATGGCCTTTGCCAATCTAGTCTTACCATCAAAAGGAGAATTGGCAGAGCATTAATGTATAAAAAGGGCTAACTCCTGAGGCCAAATTCCCTGGTGTTTTATAGTGCCTTAAGATTTTTGAAGGGAATACATAGAAGAAAATATGCACTTATTAGAAGTGTATTAATGATAATGATGCAATAATATATCTATGAGTCTAATACTAATTGTTTTGGATAAGGTCTAAAAAAAGTAATAGAGCGAGATGAAAATTACAGCTGGAATTACACCAGGACCATGGGTCATTTGGATTCAGTACAATTTTGGTTGAATTTCTGTTATATAATTCACCTCTTTATACAGTGGTCTTACAACAAGAATACTAATAGGCCTTGCAGCCATCTCTACAAACCATGAAGCTTAACTTAGTAATTATTGCTCCTGGAACCATTCTTCAAAACAGGAAGCACAATTTTAATTAAAAACCAAATTGCCAATAAATTAACTCTTGACATGATGGGAGGAGATTAAATTAGTATCAAACTTCTAATAACTTTTAATTTAGTGAATTCCCTGCTGGTATTTAGCATATATTTTGTAAGAAAACTTCTTTTTGAAATTATATATTTCATCTTACATTTCTTTAAATCAAGAGTTATTTTGAAGCACTTCAGGTCATCATAGGGAAATAAAAATACAGTATGTTTTACAAAGAAACAAACTTTTGCATTCTTGTCAGCCTATGTAGGAATTCAAAATGCCACATGAGATACATTCTCTATAGCACCCTGTATACAGACCTAACACGGAACTTACTTCTGTAATTACTGGATAAGACACTGCAATAAAAGCTAGTTAAAAAAGCTACTCATATGAATAAATAAGTTGTTTCTTGAAAAATAAGCCTTGCCTAATCCCTTGAATATAGCACCAAGTGTTTTCACCTGTGGGAAACATCCTGGTTGCATATACATTTTTTTCTGCTAAAATATAAATCTAGTCCTTGTAACCTACTACACATTTTACAATCAGCTTCTTAAAGACAGAATGAAAAAAAATCCTGGGAAATATAACAAATTACTATTTTTCCAATTGCATTGTGCAGTTATGCAGCTGTTAATAGCACAAGCACCTCCATAAGTCTTTGGGAAAAAAACCCAGCTCCTCTGACAGATATACTTAAGCATGTGGCTGGCTCCTGCTGGATGAACATGTGGCAGCCTTAACCACCTCCCTCAGACTTTTCTTCAAGTCATCAAAACAGAGCAAATACTGAAGACTAACTTTTAGGACTACAATTTTTTGTTTGCTTATGATGAGTTCCCGTGAATGTGCTTGTTTTCTATGGAGCTACTTCCCAGTGAATCCCTAAGTGCTAGCAAATGAAGTCAGTGCAAATTTATCCATGTTTTCTTGGCTGATGGTGGAGGCTTGGCCAAAATTAGATAACAAACCACAGTTGTTGAAATTGACTTACCCCATATTCCCATAAATACTGCAAACACCAGTGTTCCAAAGCTATCAAATATACAGAGTTTCTGGAAAAGTGGAAAAGAAAAAAAGTCTTAAAATATAACCGACCATTTTTATTCTTCTACACCAACTCAGAACAGAACCCAGAAGCTGCTTACTGAAAATGTTGATTTTCAATTTTTATGTAGTTTCATAAACAACCCTTGTGGATAGCTTTCCTCAATTTCTGTCCATGCACACCACTCTCCAGGAAATCAAGGAAGTGAAATGTAAAGTTCAGAATTAAAAATAAAATCCATATATGGATTATGAGGGATAGTAAAATGGTGTGCTACCAAACTTCCTTCCATCTGTTGCACACTAATAGGAAAAACAGTGCTTCTGGTCTGGGAACTCAGTATAGAATTATGGATCTTTAGTACAGCCACTACGGCCATGGACACATCTGGTTCTCATAAGCAGGATAACAAGTAAGCTAGTTAGTAAAACCACACTCTGATGAAATACCTCTGTGGTCACTATCTTCCTTTTTTTTTCCATCATAGCCTCTTCCCAGAATTCTTATTTCTTTTAACATATAAGTGTGCTGATGCAACACATTAAAGTTGGGCAAAATATTTTTGATGAACAGCTGAAAAATCGCAGTTTTGGGACTGAATCTACAGAGGGGAATGATGAAAAGCTAACATTAGCTTAGTGAGACAATGTAATGGGGGAAGAAATTGAGGCTCCTTTTTACAGGAATAAAGAGCAGGCAACAGGACACGGCTGTGCCACAGCTTCTGTCATAGCCAACATCAGCCTCTCCTTGTACCCATCTTCTCCTTGGCAACATGGATCAAATTCAAGGCATAGATCCAGATAACTTCTTCACGCAGGGAGGAGGCAGAAATTAGAAATGTCAAAACAAGCTTTAAATGTTTCCTTAGAAAAATTGATTGAAAGCTACTGAATCAAGGCTTTAACTGAATCCTCCCTTCCCTCAAGTAGAAGTACCCCCAAATGGAACCAATTTTCAATTAAAATAGCATTTTATTCTCATATAAACTATCAGCAGCTATGTGAAATTAAAAAAAAAAATAAAAAATTTCATCTTAGGTCAAATTGGAGCAATTAATGCTGTTTTAACTTTTTGAAGTTGAGTTGCTGTATCAAAAGGAACAACAATTTGCACATTTTTAGCAGTTCTGCAGGACTTTAATGAAGGACCAACATTTTTTATATGTAGTAGCAGAGAAAGTGCAACTGAAGCTCAAAAGTGTGTCTATAAGCTGTAAATGTAGTTACCTTGGATGATTCACAAGTGATGGTGAGGTTCCAGTAGGTACATACTTTATCACACTGAGGGCACATTATGATATTACCTCCTATGTTGGGGTCACATACTTCTTGGCTAAAAACAAAACTAGTCAGTCACTCACCAACACTAAATTCTTTAGTCCTTTTCCACACATGAAGACAGTCCAATAATCTCAGGGAATTAATTAATAATTTACCAGTGATCTGCACTCAAGAATTCCACCCCCAACCCTTGTCCTGCCAACTTATCCCCATTTCCGTTCACAGTCCTCATCTCTAAAATGGATGACACAGGAGGAAAACAATTTCCAGTCCTTTTACATGGTGGTAATTCTCAAAACTGCCCACACCAAAAATAAATCAGCTCTTAAAACATCTTGCAGTCTTCAGTAGGAAACCCAGAGCTGTGTGCTCACACGTGCTGTCATACCAAGTCTGATGGGAGAAGGAAGCGCTGCCTAGCAGAGCAAGGAATAGTTGCACACCCCAAAGGACTACCTAGTCCCTGTGGCCTTCTAAACAGGATCAGACTGGAAACTGTGCAGAGGCGAGCTGCCACGGTGCTTCACGGGTTTGCAGGCCTGTCTCAGAGAGGGCAAAGGAGCTGCTGTCTCATACACACTAACCCAGCATGGTGGAGGCTGGAATGTAATGGAATCACCTTCTACGTGCACATCGCGGGGTAAGCACCAGGGACAGAGCTGAGCTGCTTAACTAAATCATAATACTGGCAAAAAGGTAAATGGGTATAAATTTGGCACAGGAGTGGAGCTCTGGAATAGCCCTTCAGCATGGATTGTGAGCACCTGTCCAGGAGGGGGTGTACAACTGGATGGCCTGAAGGTTCCTGGACACAATGCCATCATTTTTTTTTTCCCCCTGGGTCATTTGTCCATGACTGAATTTTGTTGTGTTCTGATGAAAGAGTCTGTGTCATGGCTATACCTTCCCTTCCAAGGTACACTAAGCAGATGAAGGCCCCTGTGCTGTTGCTCTTCCTGTATTTTCCCAAATTAGAGGAAGGAAATTTTTAACATCTTTGGGTATCTAGTTTAAGGATTACCACAGTGAAAATTATGTCTTATGGCAATTTGTATTGACTTCTGATTGTCACTCTTTTCTTTGTGTTTCTACACTAGGTATGGTGAACCTCATGCAAAATACAAATAAAATCATGAAATAGTAAACTCTTGGATGTCTATCACTGTAATGGTCCATGGATATCCATTATTTATCTAATATTTTATGCCTTTGCTTTCAAATCCACCATGGCAGCTGCTCTCAGGCCCTTTAATTTTGCCTCCTTCATTAAGCAGTGTCTTGCAAACCCTGTTCTGTCTCCCTGTGTACAGGGTTGATAAAAATTGCACAAGACATTAAACCAGGCATGATCAGGTACCTCCATGTGCAGTTGTCCTTTGTCAGGAATCCATACAGAAAACATCCAACTCCTACAACTGCAGCCACAGTCAGCATATTTGTGTAAAAGCCCAGCCAAGCAAAGTAGATGCCAATTTTCTCTCCATAGTATTTCCTGTGGAGGAGAAAGGTGGGTTGTTTATTTTTTTTGGTTAAAACACAAGTAAATTTGAATTTCTGTCTCAAATGGCTCTTCATTTCACACATTTTATGCCAGCCCTTATTTTCATAGTTCTCTGTTTTCAACTTTGGGATTGCAGTAGTATTGCATGCTTTTGTAAAAGGATAGAAATGGGAGGGAAAAAGGAAAAAGAGAAAAGATCATACCTCACAAAGAAAATTTTAAGTGGTTGTCTTTTCATAAACCAGCTCATCATCAAATTATGCTCCTGTGCATGAGCTGATCTGGGCGTATGTATCTTCTCTCAAAACTGACCTCTGTCTCCTTGATTTCCCCAAAATCAGACCTATTATATAGATTTCTTGTTCTCCCTGCCTTAGTCCAGTGCCAGTTTCACCAACCTGATGAAATCCAGGGGTTGCAGTTTGAAAATGTTTTTAGGATGAGCCCATTCTCTGTAGAGCAGATATCGTTCACTCGGGCAGTTGGGATCAGTTGACAGGTGCCTAAAACTTGACTGCAAAACAGGACGAGCATGAGAAGATACCCCTAAAACCTAACCAGGGCAGCTCATCTCTCATCTCTGCAGGTGATTTCTATACCATGAAGCTAGAGTCTGTTGTAGCCTTTTAGACAGCCTAACTGCAAACCAGGAAAAGGAGCAGCAGCTCTGAGAGCACACCAGGATTCAGGATAGAAGGTTGTCAGAGAGGCACTGAATGCTAAAGTAAACGCTGTACATATGTGAGCTGAAAATAACAGAGACTCATCATGAGCTTAATCTAAGCACATGTCAACATCTTGGCACTTAGAAATAGAAAATAAAAAAGGATCCATTCTAATTAGAGAACAGGACTGAATTAAAATGGATTTTAAGTAACTTAAACATACTACACATGCTTTGCTTCAAAATTATACTGTACTAGAATACAGGCTGGAAAGACTGAGGGAAAAATCCAGGGCCTCTAGTCTCTGTTTTAAATTTAAAAGAGAGTTCACATGGAGATAATCTTTGTATTTCTTAGTAGGCTATTTTAAAAGCTATTTCAATAAAACCTGTTTTATTTGAGACATTTTTCCATTCTATATCTGAGATGCAACAAGATGAGTGATGCTTGTAGAAATTTATCTGCTGCTTTTCATTTTCAGCATAGCTGTGATGTATCATTTCAACAGTATAAAAAGACAGTCATTAATTACTAGTCATACTGAGTCAAAATTCCCCAAGCCATGATAGAAATAGCCTGCAAGGCAGGTTTTAAGTCTTTAAAAGGAAAACTTTAAAATGGCTAGTCACAAATTGTATTAATTCCATTCTGTAAAGCTTTGATTGCTTACAAGAAACATGGTTTGTCTTGATTCTGCCTTAAAAGTGTCTTTGAAAACCTTAGAGGCCTCCTAAATATTTTAAGCCAAGTCCATGCAGCTGAAGCAGTTATCATTCCTGACCTCCCATGTTCCCAATGTCTTCTTGACAGAACACACCTTGGACACAGAATGGTGGCTCTGAGGTGGACAAGCTGGGATGTTGTGGTTATGCAATAGAGAGAATACAGAAAATCGGCCCTCAGTCTTTGCTCACTTTGCATTCACAGCCTCACGTGGAGTTTTTTCTTTGTCAAATATTCTGAAATCTGATTTTTTTCTCCTTGATTTTTTTTTGGTGATATTCTTTCAATTCTACAATTTTCAACATTAACTTTCTCATTCAAATGATATAATTTGAAAAGCTTCAGAAGTGTAGCTGCAAAAGCTGGATTTGTTATTATTGCGAGGTGAAATTGAAACCAGTGAAGCTTTTCTCTTCAAGATTCTGACACCTGTGAGGCACTGGACTGGCTGGGCAGAGTCTTCCTGTGGAAATCTGAGTCTCATGCATGTATGCTGCAATGTTTGGGAACCAAGGGACTGTTCTCAGTATGGAAAACTTTCACACATCCTAAAATAAGAGTTGTAGTCTACATCCCTATCAACAATTTGATATCAACAAGTTCATAAGAATTTTAATATTGGAATATTGCATACTAATGAAACATTGATTTAGGACTGATAAGGCAGTGTGTCATGGGAACTATGTCTCAGTCCAGGTATTTTACTGAAATACATCTCCCAGAGAATACAAGTTTAAGAACTCTCAAGTGAAATATATTGTTTTTCATTTATAGAAACATTTTAGTGTTTTGGAAGAAAAATCTCTTTAGTGAAACCACATCCTATTCTTCTATGTGGATATAATAACAGTTGAGGAAGAGTGCTTGTATCCTTTGATATATCTAGAGGATATATATATCTAGTTATAGTTCAGACCTCTATTTTAAAGTGTATTTTAGTTACAAGCACCGGACTTACATCATGGAGGGGAAATGCTGCTTTGTAGATTCCAGTGTCCAGTAATTTGTTAATGCCAAACTTTTTCACATTATTTTTTGTTGCATATTCCACACGGGACAGGATAAAATGAACCTGAAATTTAAAAAAAATATTTTTGTGTCCTTGCAACCTGAAAGAAATCATATACAGCTATATCTGTCTCAGCATACCATCAAGTTAGGAAAGACTAAGTAGACTATTTCCTAGTAAGTAGAGAAATGTAGACAGAGTTAATTGCATGGGGTATACAACCCATTCAAATCCCTCCTTTAAATTCAGGTGGAAGAGAAATAGGACAAATTCAAGTAAAGTTTTCCTTCCGGATTGCCCAGGCTATTTCATAAATTACACAGGACAATTGCATCCCAAACGTTTTTAATTTCTTAGGATGTTCTAAGGAAGGTAATCACACGGATCTGGTAAAAGGAATAGTTTCTTTTTAAGAGTAAATTCTAGAAATACTCCATAGACTTACAATTCGGCTTCTAGTTGCAGGATTGAAAAAAGTGTCTTTGTCTTGGATATAGAAGCTGGACAAATACTCCATTTGAAAAGGGGCAGTGAAAAACTCTTGCTCAGGTTTGATGATATTTTCATCCACCCTGAAGAGCCTACTGAACCAGTTGAAAGCTGAGTCTTGGGTTTTCAGGTCATTGTGTTGCAGAGGCAGTTTGATGTGCATAACCTCGGCATACGCGCACAGCACTTCCCAAGGTGCATGCACTTTCACAAAAATAAGTTTCTCATCCACAACCTGAGATGAAAGAATATTGAAAATTAGTATGTAAGCAAAGAACTTCTCATTTTAACAATTCTTGAACTATCTAAATTTTTCTTTCTCTTTACAGCTCATAGATGAGCTGCTCAAAGTTGCATTCATTGTCCATCCCAGCGAATATATCATTGGCTGCTGTAAAATGCTGACATGAGAAAACACTCAGGCAGATGAAGGCATAGAAAGATATATAAAAAAACACTCTTAAATGTGCCCTTAATACTTAACGTTCACATCTCTGCAAAGTATTTTATAAAATAATTTAAGTGTGACACTTTCCTCCTATGGGGTCATTAGGACTCTTTTTACTTATAGTTTGACAGGGCAGGCATGGCTCTGGAGCTGCCAGTGACTCCCCAGCAGCTCACTTACAGCCCTGGGTGATGGCAGCAGGCTAGGCACTCAAGGGTGCTCCTGGGCAACAAGAATTCCAAGCTTCCTAGAGAGGATGGGGAGAGGGAAAGGGAAATTATATGAAACTGCTGAAAAAGACAGCATGGGGCACATTTGTTCCCAGTGGAATGCCCAAACCAGCCGCAGTATGCAGTGGGAACCCTGAGAGCCACTCCTGCCTCCTGTCTACACATGGCCTGTAGACCTCCTGCTGCCCTGCATTAGTGAGTGTCAGCCACATGAAATTCCCTTATGTAGCTCATTGGCTCAGGAACACTGCTCAGGTATCTGATCTAGCCTGGGGAAATGTCCAGTTTCAAATGTTTTTCAGTCATAATCACAGCAGAACTATTGAAGACTGCAATATGTAAGTACAGCACCAGGTCAGCAGCAGCCTTCCAGACAGCAATTTACTTTCTTATGAATGTGAAGAACCAGAATGCATTCTTGGACCTGCAGCAGGAGCCCCCATTGCAGACAAATAAATACTGTGGTGCCATAGATTCTGAGTCTAATTTGTGAGGAGGGGGCAAAGCAACCATTTCTGGAGCTCACTACAGATTACCAAACAACAACAAATTTAGACTGGAAGAGACTGTCTTGGAGAGTGAGACACAGATAGAGCACTGCAGCCCTGCAGGGTAGGAAGAAAGAGATTTGGAGGGGCTCTAACCCTCCCTGCCAGAGACAGCAGCTCTGGCAGCTGGTCTGCATTACCACAGTGCTCTTGAACTGCCTGCAGGCGACACCGCAGCCCAAAATATACAAAGCACGGCAGAACTGCTTGCACAGGGCCAGGCCTTGAGAGAAGCAGGATCATGTGCACTGCTCTTCTGGCAGGTTCTGCACCACACACACACTAGCTTCCCACCTGTGCTACACAGCCAGACTATGGGAAGTGCCTCTCTGCAGGGTACAGACTGTAATTTTTATCTTCTGAGCTCTGAGCAAACACGATCTACATAATCTCACAGCTTCCCATCTTTTATTTTGAAGAGGAAGGAGCAGACATAAAAGTTTAAAAAGATTTTGCATCAGATCACAAAGACATTGCTAAGGGAAGAAAATGTGGGCCTTTTTTTTATTCAGTTTCCTTAGTCCCCCAGGGGCAGCTCTGCTCTCAGAACAGCCATCCACAGAGAATAGCACTCACCGACCTCGTTGCTTCTAGTTGCAAGCCATTGTTTATCAGGTTTGATTCATATACTTGTCTCTTCCTCTGTTAAAAGATATTGAACACCGTAAAACATCTGTTCCAAATTTCACAAATATGTATGCACAGAAAAATGGAATTTCCTCCCAAAACCATCATTATGTTATCTCTGTAGCCCACTTGATAGCTACTGTGGTGATATGTACTACCTACTAGTTAATCCTGATCAGCTTTTTTGTGTGATAAGCAATATTGCTTTAAATGCAATTGTGGAGCATTTATCCTCTCAGTTTCTGATACATTACTGAGGTGTAAGTGTGACTCAGATTTCAAGAATTTTGAAATCTCCCCCTGAAATTTTGATCTCTTTCACCTTTAGTCACTAATGAACTATATTAATCTTCCTTCAGAGAGATTTAATCTCAAGTGCTTTTCATCTCACTTTCCTTCAAGAAACCTGTAACTTTATGTTTCCTTCACAGTAATCACATGAGTTCACACAGCAGTTCAAACTGTAGTATCCCAATACATTTTAGTTCATGGATTACATCCCTATAGGAAGAAACTGAAAGCTGTAGCACTTGGAGAGTTAGTGGCACTGTTCCAGGAGCATTTAATGTCCCCAAAAGGACACAACAAGTTTTCCTCAGTAAAGATCAAATTTGTGGCTAATTTAAATTTTATTTCGTAGTTAGCAGCACTTGGCAGATGGTGAGTTACAAAAAACCTGAAACATCTTTCCGATCTCGAATCCGCTTCTCCATGCAGATGACCTCCTCCCAAGAAACACAGAAACATCCCCTTTCCCCTCAAATTCAAAACATGTAACTCCATAAGGGATTTATAAGGAATTTTGAAACTTTGTGTGTAGCAATCAAATTTAAAAGCTATCTGCACCAACTGGGAGTCTCCTCAATGATTTATTTTTTTATGTGAGTCAAGGGTAGCCCGCTCTCCCTGAGCTACAAACTGCATGTCCAAATATCAGCATGGGTAATGGGGGGCACCTGTAGGCAGCTGGGACTGCCCTTAAGTGAGCAGTTTGCTAGAAGATGATGACTTAAATGTACTGGGGACTGAGAGCTTTATTCCTCTACCAGGTTAGACTAGGGCTGCAGCAAGGTTCCTGGAGTGACTCAGGGGATACTACTTACTCACAGATTCCTTTCATGCCACTGGACCATTTCTTTGTTGATTAACATGTGCTTAAAGGATCTGGCATCTCCCACTTCAGGAACTTAAAGAAGGACCCAGTGTTTTTTGTGACATGATTCTCTATAGCGATTTTAGCTGCCTTAAGACCTGTTGCTACTGTGAAGGACCAGAGTCAATGAATGACCTCTAGATAATCTTAGGATCTTTGACAGGTATGTAGAAAGTGATCCTCAGGGCTAGACTCAAGGCTTACTCACTCTAGATGGCAAAAAGATGCTTCAGCAGAAGGCTAAAAATCTTCAGAAGTTCCACAGGAACAGGTCAGTTATATACCCAAATAAGTTTCATCCAGTTCTTGACTATTTTAAGATGGTTGTAAGTTCCCAAACAAGAAAATGCTATTTTTGCAAAACTCTAGCAACTCTTGAAATTAATAATTATGGAACTGAATAACAATATGAGCACCCCATTAATAGTTTGTTAGTTCTCAGCTGCAGCAGCTGCAATGATCTCAATGGACTCATTTCTTATTTTGTGAACAAGTATTTTTCTTGTATTCTTGTATTTTCTGTTTTGGGTTTTCTGCTTTTTTAGTCCACTGAATATCACCTTCTACTCAAGCTAGGCACAAGAAGAGCCAAATATTTCAATCTCATTTTTTTTCCTCTCATCAATACTTATCACCTTTGTCTTTATTCCTTGCTTTTCTCAGGATTAAACCACAAACCCAGACTTTGATAGCACTCTCCATGGAGGGATCTCTCCATGTCTCATTAATTCACCTGGCTATTGGTGACAGTATAATGTTGTTTATATTTTTTCCTTGTATATATATGTCTGTGTGTAATATAGAAATTTCTGATGTGTACATCTAATTATCTTTGTTGTACTGACAGCTTTAACTAAAAATCACAAATATGAATGAGTGTTTTTCTTGCAGTAATATATTTTCTTGGATTTTCAATAATTCATAGATAATAAGAGTTTTCCAGTCTCCTTTAAAGCTAAAGATTTTCAGCCACCTTGGCTTCTAAGTAAATTATATAATGATTTCCTCTGCAATTTTTGTTTTATCAAAACTCAACTCTCTTACCAGTTCATTAAAATATGTAGTACACAACACACAGGAGTTTGTCACTCTAGTAGTAACTCTTCTGCCATTTCATCCCACCTCTTTGCTTCTTCCATATGCACGTGGTTGTTTCTAAAGTGAATACTACTCAATCATGAAAATATTTCAACCCAAGTTCTGCTTTGTTCCACCAACTAAAACAGGCAAGGAGCTAAATACTTGTTTCATTTTCTTTCTAAATAGCATAAAAATAGATGCAGAGCAATTCTCATTTATAGAAGTCTAATACTATTTTTTAAAATCTTTTAATCAGATCCCTTTAATAATTTATTATAGCAAGGAGTTCCAAAATTAATTTTGCCCTCAGAATCTTAGAAGAATGTTGACAGTATTAAGATTTCTAATAATGCATGGATTGAAGTAGTGAGAAACAAAGCCTCTGGGAGGCTTTGCTAATTAAGGGGTTTGGTATTTTATATAAATGATTGAATTATGGGTATAATGATCTATGGAGGAGGTAGACCTTTACCCAGAGGAGTCTATAGTGGTTTTGCATTGACTGGGGAATACAGTATATAGATATAATAGTTTATTAGGCTGGAAGGTGGAGACCATCCAAAGTTTATTTTAGTATCTGGTATTTTGCTCAGCTACCTGCAAGGCTAAGTTGCAATAATAAAGTAATCATGGTAATGCTGCTGATCTAAACCTGACATAGGTTTTGGTGACTGAATGGCTATTCAGCAGAGTAAGACATCACAGGATGCATAATCATACACAGTCTTGTGAAAATGAAAGCAGAATGTAAGTAAATGCCAAATATTACAGGCATGTGGAAAGATCAGGTTTTGCGAGCTGCTTTTTCACCACGGTGCTTTCAATTTCTGGTGATTCTCTTGCCAAGCTGAGGAGATTAACAGGATTGTGGGTCTGGAAATTGGTAGCAGACCAGTAGCACTTTTTCCCCTGTGTGTTGAAAATGGTAGGGAAGACTTGCTCTGATTACAGCGACAGAAGAACACGAACTCACATCTTTGCTAAGTTTCTTTTGTGCAAAGAGAAAAGTTTCCTACCACAATATCCATGTGGGTTCAGGGGAAAATTTTAACAAGAAAAGAGAGCTTGAACAGCCTCCTCTGCCTTACCTGACAGGCAACAGATAAATCACAGTCAATAAGAGAAAGAACATGGGGCCAAAATCCTCCCCAATGAAAATCAGCTGAAGGAAGTGAAGAGGATCATTGTACCAATATTAGCTGCCTCACAGCTCCTTTGATGGTATTTGGAAGCTATCCTCCAAGTCCCAGCTGTCAGCATCAGAAAATCAATTGATTGAGAAGCTCTGCTCTGTAAGCTTCTTTCCCTTATGTTTGAAGACAATCATAAAAATGTGAAGCACAACATGCTATAGAGAATAAGCCCCCAAAAATGCAAACCCAAAGAACTCCAAATACATATTTTCTGATATACCCTTTGATTTTAAGCCAGCTTCATGGTTTTCTGAAACCTTATCCGTGACCACCCAGAACTGGTAATACTGCAGGCTAGCCCTGCCCTCAACAACAGCTTCCAGTCACCCTGCTTGGAAAGACTCATTTCTGTCCTACAAATATGTGTAGTAACTGCAAAGTAACTCCCTCCTTCTATCTGTCTTCATATTTTTCTGTCATCCTTCCTTCCAAAGCAGTAGAATTTGGGTTTGTGGTTGCCTCAGGAACAGAGGTTTTATTTCAGTGAGTTTCTGCTTCAAAACTGAACCATCCAGCTGAGATGAAGGCAGGTGTGGCTGCCCTCCTCCCAGTGCCCATAGTCCCTTCATACTTGTTATCAGACTGCCTGAGTAGGTTGGCTGAGCACACCACAGGCATGCAGAGCCTGTCATTCTCTACTGCCTCAAATCACTCCATAAAATGGCACAGAAGTACCCTTTTACCTGTAATCCCAAGTGCTGCTCCCTCACTGCAGGTATGACACATGCTAAGCAGTGGGATGAGTATAATTTGTGCCTGAAAAATTACTCAAGTTTATTTTTGGTCATATTTTTTTTCTTTTTGTGGTTTTATTGTTGCTGGTTATCTGAACTGGTATCTGAACAAATATAGAGGCAGGAACTGCTCATCGTTTGCTTATGAAAACAAAATTCTCCAGCTCTGCTGAAGTTTGCAGTAACACTGTACTCAAAAAACCCCAATGAGATGTGTGTAATATTCTCCGAGAGTGATAATTTAATTCAATTTGAAAAAAACAAAATCTGTCAATTTTTGAGAAAGCACAGATTCCTTCACAGCTGGAAATGAAGGTTTTTCCCACATTCCAATTTAAATTACTGACAATCTTTCTGTTTATTTCTGTTGGGGGAAAATAGATGGACTAAAATGACATTCTGCATTGATTTCTTTTGAATTTGCATTTCTTGCCTGTTGACTTTACAGAGTGAACTCCTTGAGGACCCCAACAGGTGAAACTGGTGTTTGGGAGCATTCCTGAAAAGACTGGTCATATTTGATGGTAAGCTCTCCTGACAAATAGGGTGCATAAATTGTAGGTTTAAATGATATGCTTTGAGCAAGAATTTAAATTGCTTACAAGGTACGGTTTCTGGAATCTTCTCCTGGCAATCTCCTTTTCACTAGTGCTCACAAAATTAATTGTATACCAACTTAAGTTCAGAGATTGAATTGAGCTGCATATTTGACACTTACTTACTAGCATTTGGATCTATAAATTATGTTAGAAAGTTCCATGAGGTGTCATTTCATTAATTTGACTCTGTCTCCCCTAAACCAGAAAGAGATGAAAATAAGAGAAGCCCTGTGGATCTCCAAGAACTTGAGAATCCCTTATTTTTATTCCTTCTATCAAATCACACCCATGTTTTATTTCCTGCTGTCCTCTGAGATATTTTCCCAAGAATATTGCTTATTACTATAAACTAATGCAGACCATTCAGTTACATTTATCCAATTCTTTGGAAAAAGAACAGAAAGCCATTCAAATCCAATACAATGTTAATCTCAGGATCTGAGTCTTCTCTTGCTGCAGAAGAACACACGGATCTGTGCCCTGTTTCTCTGAATCCAGTAAATTTGATACCTAGGTTGTATCCTGATATTCAAATCCTTCTGTCTAAATTCACTAAGAATTTTGGGACTCCTCCAAAATACTTTCAGTATCATAAAAAAAACACCCACAGCAGCACACAAAACATTTCACTTCAGAAATCTACAGATGTCCACAGTTTGAATTCTGAAGTGACTTCCACACCATGCAATTGGGTGGGGTGCTGTGTGTGTCAGAATTTTTCCCAAAATCTTTAGATTTCACAGACTTGTAACATTGCACATAACCAGTGGAAAACTTGCTCCTGACTCCAGTGACATGAGGATGTCTCCTTATGGGAACAGACATCACTCAATCTCCTATTTTTTAGTAAGCTGGAGTTTCCAAATTCTGTACACAATAAAGCTCTGGATAATAGCTTTATAAAACTGTCAGGGAAGTCAAAGAAAGAGTAGCATGGGCAAGGAACCTATTAATGGTTAAAGCACCCTGAATTACACAAGATACTACTTATAAAATTTGGCATTTTCATTTCATCATTGATCAGACAGTGATGTATACAGTATTTAAAATTGATCCTAAATGGCAAATGTTCCTTATTTTGGTTGTATTTCATCACAAGGGTAGAAGTCATTTGCCTCAGAAAAATTACAACCAAATATACAACAGTGTCAGTAAAGACACTGTTGAACGACACTGTAAAGTCAGTAAAGCTATCAAGTAGCTTTTATGCCAACATGGGTGAAATCTGAGTGTATCTTGGGCAGCACCAAGCCCACACTGTTCTGGGAACTGCAGTAGGCCAAAATGTTCATTTCCTTCCTGGAATTCTAAGGATGTAAAGCTGCACCACGTCATCTTAATTTCAATCTCAGATATAAGGTAAATGTGTACAGTCCCCCTGTTGCTTCAACTGCTACTTAGCCATGGAAATACTGGTTTTAGCTTCCTTCTGACACATCTTTGTCACTCTAGCCTTGTGTGTCAATCTCCTGGCTGTACTTCTGTCCATACAGGCTTTGTTGGCCACTGCTGTCACGCTGCACACCTGGCTCTTGTTCAGCTTCTCTCCACAAAAACCACCAGGGCCTCTTCCACAGAATTGCTCCCCAGCTGCTCAGTCTTCCCTTTATCTGATCATTTCTCTGATATGGTCTTTTCCTTGCATTTGTTGTGCATAGGTAGATTGCTTCCTCCTCCTCAGCACACCACGGAGTCAAGGTGGCTGCAGATCTTTGTGGAACTAACACCTTTGAAAGTAAAGTTTTTATGCAAACACCTACCCACAATCTCCTGGTCTAATTATAAATGGTTTCATTCTGGCTAATGCCTTAACATTAATGCTGTGCTGAAAATACTACTCCACTGCTCACATTTATTTTCCATCACTACTTAGAAAATATGCTCATTATATTTTTAATATATTTGGGCAATGGCCAAGTATTACAAACATAAATGTAAAATGCTAATTGATAAAAACAATTCTTTCCAAAGGGGCATCTTTTTTGTCTAATTACCTCTTTCAATTAATTTATATTGCTGATCCTGTGATCATGTGTAATACAACATCCACCCACGGCAGGACTCCCTCAAACCCCACTAACGACATTCCTTATGGCTGTCCTGTTAATACCAACAACAACACTGTGTAATGAGTATCACCAACTTAGCTACAGGCTTTTTTACTCCTACTCTTCTATTTCCTAACTGCAAATTATTATTTGTATATGAGCTGCTTTCAGTGATATCCTCGTCCCTGCCTGTCCCAGCTGCTGGAACAAGGATTATTACTAAATCAGAGGAGGATGTGGGTGGGTGGGGGAGTGCAGATGCCAAAGGAAAAATCTCACAGATCCTTATTTCTCAGACAGTTCAGTGGCATGGCTGAGCTCGTTTTTGTGACTCTGTGTGCCAAAATGAATGTAGTGCTCTGATGCAATTGATGAAATGATTAAAGAATAATCAAGAAGTCACTGGCTTGAGTCAGAAACTTGGCAAGGGCAAAGCTGCTGAAGTGCAAAGGGAAAGAATTGTACAGGGAGAAATTCTGGTGGCAGATGTACAATTATTTCCCTTAAACAACTCAGCTACGTTATCAGAAGTCAGCAGAATGTCAGCAGCTGTGTTCATAACTGTGATCTGGAGCAACTGGTCAGCTGCCTCCTTTGGGTTTCTAGGAATATTCTAATTTTATTACCAAAGTCCATTAGGGGCCTAATTGATTCTCTCCACAAAAAGGTCACTGTAGGTACAGAAAATTGTGCCAGTGTGAAGATCTTGGTCTCTAACTCTAACCTGACACTGGTATTTTCCTGCTCACATCTTCTGAAGGGTGGCCTCCCAGGAGGATGCTCTGAGGTCACCAAGCACACACTGACAGACACGATGTGCAGTGCTCTGCCCATTTACTCAGCAATCTATGGCACGAACCCTGTTCCCTGCTCAGTTTGATGGGCTTCAGTCTCCCAGCCCCCAGGAGTACTCTGAGGATAAGGCAAAGCAATTGCTGTTCTGGGTGAGGGCACTGTCCTTTCTGCCCTCTTTCTGCCTTTCAGCTCTAACACCCAATATAGGAAAAATAACTTACCTTTTGTTTTTTACGATCACTCCTCTTATGAGTCATTTTTTTACTTTCATCTTCATACACCAAAACAAAGTCAATTCTTCGCTGCCCATCTTTGAAGAACAAGGAGTCAGTCTTATCATCAAAATCCACCTGAAAGGCAGGTGGCATGGGTTAGTATGAAGCTCCTTCCTCGCTAGCTCCTTACATGCTTCCCTTCACACAGTATTTCAGTGAAAATAGATATTCAACATATATCAGCCTTGTATAACAGGAAGCCCAAAATGACCAAGTTGCACAGAGTAGAATGAAGGAAAAAAAATTATCCAGAGGAATTTGTCAGGTCTCTGTATGACATCAAATCAACAGAAGTTTGACCTAACTTTCTTCTTTAAAAATGGAACATTAGCTTTTCATAATGAGAGAAGCACTGGGATGCAACACCAGTACCAAATAATGCATTTGTCTAGTAATTTGTACACTATCATGGACATTTCAGTAGATAGTTTGTCTACAAGATTGCTGTTGCCTGATGGGAGTCTCAGAATTAGTGCATTTCCATCTGTTCCCTTACCTGAAGAATTTTAAGCATCTCTGCAATTACTAAAAAAAACCAAAACAAAACAAAAAAGGCACAGTAGATTCATGCATGCTTGTACTTAAACCCACCACTTTCAAGAGAACAAAGAACATGATCAGAGCAGAGATGACATCTCCAAACAGACATATATTATGTGGATTTATTTCTCATTTTATCTGCAACAACTCAGCAAGAAAAAACACATTGTTGTGTGCCACACATCCATCATGTTATAACAGATGCCAAAATCAAAAGTTTTAATATATCCATAAGCCATTATCCAGTCCCTGGAGGAAAGTAGGATAGATTGTCATATCCACTAATAACATCTTAATGTGCTATTTCATGCGTGAAATGATACGGACATGTTGGTGACAGGGAAACCTGAATGATTGCATAATGATTTTGTAGTTTCTTAGAGTACTCTGAGGGCAATATCACACATTACCAACCCCTCCTTTCAGGTACAGCTGGAATGTTATCCGAATCACGCTGTGTAATGTGCGCCAGCTTCTCAGGTACTTGGCCAAATCCACCCATGCTGTAAATGGAGGTGGTGCCACTGAAGTTGACAGATACCAAGAGCATGAAGTGGGACTCAGCATGGCATTAGAGACAGGAGCATCTCCAAAGCTGGCAAGGCTCCCACACAGAGGACTCCCACAGAACTGCAGAGAAGCTTTGGCCTCCAGCTGACTGGGCATGGAGGGTAGGCGAAGTCAGGATCAGGTCAGGCAAAATGACACAGAATAATCTCTGGCATTTGCTGTGGACATGGCAATGATCCCCAGATGTCCCATCTTCAACTGTAAAGAACTGAGAAGAATGTCAGTCTTCATTCAGGAACACCCAAGTCTCAGGGACCACACAGTGTTTTAGAAACCACGTGTTAGCTTTTTTTTTTCCTTTCCCCAAAACTTCTCCCTGTAGATTATTTTGTAACTGTTTATTGGCTGAACCAAAACAGGCGACCAAGATGTGTCTCCCCGTAATTATGACAAAATTTCCACATTTTAAATAAACTCAAGGGAGTTTAAACCCACAATTTTTTTTTTTATGTTGCATGTGCAAAGACTAGGACCTGCTGCAAAGAGGTTCAAAAGTCTGAGCAGATTCTTGAATAGAACAGTTTTCTTTGAATGCCACCTGTCTGATGGGATTTGTGACAAAGCTGACAGCAAGCAGCTGCTGACACACATACACATATGGCCAGTATACACACATTCTGCATGTTAGTTTCACAGGTTGGGGTAGGATTTAGAGACTACCTAGGCAGTCAGCAAATCAACATACTGTGAATAAAGTTTTAGGGAAAAAAAAAGCATTCCATTTCCAGATGACATCACCAGACCACAATGTCACTGAGTATCTCTATCAGCCAAAGCAAGTCACAGGTGTGAATTTCTGAGTTCTTCAGAGCTGATGTTGGCATAGTCCTATCAAGAAACCAGAACTGACTGTGACAAGCTTCCCTCCTGCTGAGGACTAGTCACAGGTGTAAAACTCAGCCTCTCTGCTATCATTTCCAATCTCATTTAAAACATAACCATGATGATTTAATGTTGACAAGATTCCCTGTTGGGAGGAAAGGGGCACCAACAACATCCAACAGCCCCTGTTGGGACAGCCTGGGAGCTGCCTGAGCAGCAGGCACAGAGCCCAGCCTGGGACCCCAGCCATGGCTCCAACACTGGAAATGCAGAGCCCAGATCCTGTGGTAAGGAATAACAGTGGGAAGGGCTGCCACTACATAAAGCATCAGGTTTTTTAATTGGGCTTTTTTTTTCTCTTTGGAATCTTAGAAGCCTCATTATAATAACTTCTGTTTAAAGACACAGTTTAGCTGTGAAAGTCAAGTGCGTGAAAACATAGAAGTAGTAACAGCTTTAACTTTATTTTCACTGCAGCTTTTAGCACTTTTTCTGATATGACCTGTCCTCAGGATAGTGAAGAAAGACATGGAAAAAAAGCCAACATCAAATCATGTGTTGATAGAAGAAGATTTGATCATAATTTGAGTATGCATAATTTCACTGAAAAATTTTCCTTTAAATGTAGTCTTTTTTAAGCTTAAAAAAACAGTGATAACTGGGTTATCAAGAATAATTTACTATATAAAAAAACTATATATAAAATAGTTATAAAAAAAAACTATTTATAAAATAATATCTGCCTGTTAACCAGCATTTTGACTGATAAATTTACTTACATAACTGTTGTTATTTAGATGTGTGCATAACTGCTATTGTATTCATACATTTTTATCTCTCTCTTTCACACAGATATAAATTGAATACAGCTGAAAGATTAATAAATATTGGACTGCATGAATCCAGATACACAGAAGTTCATACTTATGCAGCTAACTTCTTAAATGTAATCTTCATTGCTTTTAATCACAAGGGCATTTTTCAGTTGACCTTTCCATAGACACTTTATATATCAATCAAATAAGAATTGACTCAATAAGCCTGAATATTTAAGAGGTCAAGATAAAGACCCACAAAAATAGATTGTTATGTAGCTCATATTAAATAAATTAAATATTGCTCAATTAAAATTAAGAAGTAAAATGTAAAAGAGAAGGTAATAGCCAAGTTTTCAACAGCCACATTAACTTACATGTGTGGTGTATTTTGTAATCCCTTTGGACAGCTAGTAATGAAAAATCATATATTATTCAACATAACTACCCAGGGAAAAACAGGACTGGAAACCAAAAAGATGTGGTGTACTTTGAAGTTAGCATTTCCTTTGAGACAATATTTATTTTGGGTTTTTTTAAATAAGTAATATTATTTGACAATTTTACAAATGTTACTATCATACCAATGCACACAAGCTTGCATGCATAGACAAATTAATGGGGCTGAAATTTCAATACATAGTTTTTTTAAGTATCAGTAGCAAATTATAGCCCCAAATAATGAACAGGCCCATTGACACCTCCTCCTTTTGGAAGAAATGAACACAGGACTATTTAATGCACTATTTAATTTTTTTAGCCTTGGCATAAACACGATTTAAGTACTGATGGAGGCAATCAGTTGTGCGCTCTAATGTTTTAATAATATCCTAATGGACAGCTGGTTAATATTGATTAACACCACTAATAATAGTAATAATAAAAGAAATATATACATAGATGTGAAATACTAATTATACTTAGCATACAATCTGCAGCTGTTAATTACTGTCCAAGTGCTGTACAACCAACTGCTTGCCTACCAGGGAACTATCAGTTAACAGAAGGAATCTGAAGGAGAGAAGGACCTGGCCGTGAGTAAAGTTCCTTGTAACACTGAGGTTACACTTACATGGGCTGGCCTAGAGGCAGCGTGGCCACATCCATGTGAGCGTATCTCTGTGTTTCAGTGCAGAACTGGTCTGATCAGGGGAGCATCAGAGGCTCTCCATTCCAGGGGATGAGACTGGAGGAGCCCAGAAATGTGTGGAATGCAGACACCACCTCCCCAGCACCAAATGCCTTTTCCACTGCCAGCAGATGCACATGCAGGTTGTGGAATCCTGCTGGAGCTGGGAAGCGCTGCACTGATGCAGTCACACTGAAGGTGCTGGTCATAAGCAGTCCTCTGCCATGCACTCCCCTTCCCTTACACACCTTATCTTCCTACTCCCTGGGCTTCCTGCTCTCTGGTAAACCAGCACAAACCACCCCCAGCCAACAGCATTGGCTCTCCCAGAGCCTGGGACACAGCAGCACTTGGAAAAGGGGCAAGTGAGACAGGGAGATAAGCTTGTCCCAGCACACAAGGCTGAGGGAACTGTTATGGCTTGAAATGCCCACACCATGGAAGGTTCCCTCAGCCCCTTGACTCAGAGTTTGTCAGGAGGGAGCCTTTGGTGTGCCACTCCAGACGTATAGCCAGGCTTGCTGGTATCTAAGGGGAGCTGCTGTGTCTCACTCTTAGAGCTGCTCCTGTAGTCATGGCTACATGCGATGCCTGCAGTAGATAAAGGAGAACAGGCAGGGGGAGAGCTCCCTTCAGCAATTCATTCCTGTTCCAGGGAGGAAAAATGGTTACACTACCAAGAAATGGTTACACTACCCTGCCTCACTTTTCCAAGCTTCTCTAGGCATGATATAGTTAAATATTCAGTGGGGATAATGGTGGGATGGGCAGGACAGAGACAATCATGAAGAAAAATATGTGCGCAGGAATTGCAGCTATTTATTGTTTGCTATACCCTGAACAAGCACAGTATTGTAAGCTGGATTTTTTAAATAACAAGAGATTTTGCAGGAATGATTTATCTAACTGGAAAGATGAAAGAAGTGCTTTATTTTTCCTGCAAGAGCCTTTGGTGTGACTGTCAATAGTGCCAAATGTAATCATTACTGGAGGGATAAACTACTTGTCTGCAACACCACATAATTTTCAGATATGCTTCAAAATAGCTTCCTGCAGCATGCCAGTGAATGAATCAGTACTGGGAAAGAAGAGAGCAGAGCAGAGCCTGTGTAACATTGCCTCAGCTGATAGGCACCTGCAAAAAATCCTCCCACTGGGGCACAGAGACAGGCACATGGGGGATCTGCAGGTTGCACTTCAGTTGTGGGCTTTATGAAGGGGAAAATTTCAGAGTGCCTAATTAGGAGCACAGTTATGTCTCTCTGCCTGCTTCAGGAAACTTTAAAACAAGTAAATAAAAATAAAACACACTATATTACCAGGGTATCAGGAAACATAATCATTTATAAGACTTTGAGATCATCTGAAGAAAATGTTACAGAAATTAAAAGTTCTTACCATCACAGCCACATAAAAATATTTTTTTATTGCTTTAGGTCCTGAACAACCAATAGAGACAACTTTCTGACATTAAAGACCAACACAAGCATTTCTTTCTGGATTATATTGATATATATATAAAATATATAAGATAGTACTGGAAGATGTAAGTTTATTTGCATATTGCATAATAATGTTTGTCTGTCTCTGGAGGGCCATAAAGCTGTTGCGCCTTTAACATTTTCCTTTATTATTCATATTTTTTAACAACAGCAGAGGACTCTTAGTTCTCTTTATAGCAATAATGCAAATATTAGCAAGCATTTCATCAGAAGAAGGTGTTGTTTTTTTTAATTTCTTCAACATGCAAAGGAATTTCAGCAATGAAACAAACTGAAATAAACTGAGAGTAAAGACAAGGAGAAGAAATATGGGGTGTCACTACAGCCATGCATTTCTGTCAGCAGAAAGCAGCTGGTACCCAGTTCAAGGATGCCTTGTCCCCTGAGCTAAGTTTGGACCAAACACCCACTTGACTTCCTGTCTGAGTGTCAGGCTGCTGCTGGCTGCAGGAGGAATTCCAGTCACTCCTGATTAAAGAGAGACCAAATGGCCTTACTTTTAAAGAAAATTAAGAAAGTGCTCACTGAAAACCTGGTTTTAAGCAACTCCCATCTTTCCTGGGATGCAAGAGCTGGGAAATTCACTCCTTTGAGCTTCCCAGAAGCCTTCTTGCAGAAGAAATTGTATGAGGGGCAGCAGTAATAGAAAGTTTGAAGAAGTTACCTTCTCTCTGCAGATACCCACTCTCAAAAAAATCTTGTTACATGCAAATTCAAATTATCTACCTACAAAGCAGATAAGCTGCAAAATGAAATATGAGCTGCAAAAGGCTTGAACTAATGCTGTCTGTGAAGTTTTGTCTTCCTTGTACATGTTGTTTATGACACGTGATTAAACTGTAGCATCACATGCCATATTTCTATGCTCCTTGTAGTAGTTATGGAGTACTCCTTATTATCGTCTTTATTTAATGTCTGGGATATTTTTTGTTTGTGGGGTGTTTTACTGTTTTTTAAAATGTTTTTTGTCTCTTTTCTTTTCTTTTCTTTTCTTTTCTTTTCTTTTCTTTTCTTTTCTTTTCTTTTCTTTTCTTTTCTTTTCTTTTCTTTTCTTTTCTTTTCTTTTCTTTTCTTTTCTTTTCTTTTCTTGCCTTTTCCTTTTCCTTTTCCTTTTCCTTTTCCTTTTTCCTTTTTCCTTTTTCCTTTTCCTTTTCCTTTTCCTTTTCCTTTTCTTTTTTTTTTCTTTTTCTTTTTCTTTTTTCTTTTTTCTTTTTCTTTTTTCTTTTCTTTTCTTGTTACACCTCATGTAAGTAGCACAAATGCTTAAAATAGGGATTTCCTTCTGACTATGCCTTTGGTATTCACCTTATAGAACCTCAGTGTTCTGCAAATGTTGTGAAACTTAATTTTAAAAGATTCCCCAGGACAGAAAGTAACAGTATAACTCTGATTTTAATGGTCATCACATAAGGCACCTAAACATTTATGCCAGAATCTGTTCACTTTCTCCTAAATTTGGAGTCAAGCTTTATACAGCAGGACAGTGACACCTTTCCAGAGAGCTCAGCAACTCTCTCTCTTCAAAGAGCACTACACTCAATCCCAGGTCCATATGTCACTCTTGCAAATGCAGACAGGGCCATGGATGTTCTCCTTGGCACACAGGAAAAAGAAAAGCTGGCTGCAGCTTTACAGGTCTTGAACAAAAATCTTATAGCAGGGGTTGTCCAGCTATCCAGGACTAAGCTCAGTTTTTCTAGAGCTAAGAGCCTTTCATTCCTTCTCTGCAATTTCCTGCCACATTTAAAGCTTTCTGAAGTACCACAAAAAATATACCCACGAATTTTTGGCTTTTTGGAGATAATTGTCCTAATCATGTGCCAAATGAGGCAGGGATCTTGTGGCAAACTTAGCATATGACCCTGCAATTAGAAGAAGCACCATAAGAAGAACAGGACTGCTTCTATTAGCCAATAATTTATTTAGTTTTGGCTCCTCAGAAGAACTCGCAAAATCAAATCAAATTTCCAGATTACTTCCGGTTGGAACACATGATCTAAGTTTAGACAAAAGGCATTTCCCTTTAGTACTTCCCTTCTATTCAACTATTTCAGGTTAGGCTTCTTCAGTTTCTGTTTCTAGCTACAATTAGCCCTAATTAATTTAGCAGAGGTTCAGCAGATCTCAGTTTTATCTTTCTGTTTCCTCCAACTGAAATAGCCAGTGATCAACAAGGAGGACTTGACACAGAAGGAGCAGTGCAGAGATGCTGCTAAAACTGAGAAGAAACTACAATTGCTTGTAAACATGAGTAACCAAAAATAAAGATCGATTTTGACTCTCAACTTTAGATTTTAGTAGAAATAGAAATAAATTCCACCGAGACTGTTCAGAGAAGACTGTTCCAACCACAAGGTATATGACATTCCAGCTGTTTTGATGCTATTTCACTTCACAAAAATATGTAAAAAAAGTATCAATGAACCACAAGGAGACTCTTAAGAAGGATTTTTATAACATCCAAGTCTAGGAACCAATTGGGAAATGGAAGTTCTTCAAAAATGTTTAAACAGCTTAACATGAACGGCTTGCTGCAAAACACAGGGTCAAGGGAGGTGAGGGTGTCCACCTCCCAGGAGGAAACTCATTTCCAGTTACTTTGGATATTGGTTTCCTGTGAGATCTGAGGCAGGGCTTCTTGAGCTAGAGACAGCAGCCTGTTAGCTGCAGAAAATCTTAGGTGAGCTGGAAACCTTGAACTTTGGACAAAGGGAATGGACATCTCTAGATCTTTCTCTTTCTTGTCAGTTCAGTCTGGAGTAAGGAATTTCTTGGTGTCTCCAAGCTTTCTTGGAGCTTTCTTGGGTATGTGTGTTTATATGTAGGGTGTGTTCAGAACTATTTATTCTTGTATACACACACAGAAATCCTAGACATTTGTGAACAGAATTACATAGAGGGAGGAGGTGTATGTATATACAGTAGTTTATAATGAGTTTATATTGGTCATTTGTAGTTGAGTCCAGTGCCTGTGACAGCCTGTACTTTCAGGCACTGAGTCAATTACTTCAGGTACCTTTAGGGAAATGGGGATAATAGCAACTCAGATGTAATCACAAAGGGGATTACTGCATGTGATGAAAATGCAAAGGAATGCCAGTCTTCTGGAGCAACTACTGGACTGTTGCATACCTACAAGAGAAAATTTTACAGGTAGTCACAGTTAAACAGTACTCACCCATTCAGGAGTATGAAGGGTTTGCTGCTCTGGCACAGTTCCGTAAGTGGGAATAATCACCCGGTTCAGTTCCAAGACTAAAATGAAACATAAAAAATGAAAATGCTTTAGCATTTTTGTGGTATGGGTTTTTTATGGGCTTATAGTTTTAATTTTTTTTTCTATTAATGCCTTGTGTAGAAGCCAGCTCATTGCACTTATTTAATGTTTCAGAAATGGAACGATTCCGTGTTGCACTTCAGTTACAATCAGCAGGTGACAAGAGAGTGAAACACCAGGATGACAAGGTAATGCTAGGAGAACATTTTGACAGTGATGCATCCCTACAGTGATGCAAGCAGCATCCCTTTACTAGTATTTTACTACTTATTTAGTGTTTCAGAAACTCTATGGACATTGTAGCAGAAGTTTATTTTTCAATGAATAAGGGTACCAGAAATAGCTCCAGCTGTGCAAATAACCCTGGCTCATGCTGGTTGTACTTGTTAGGCAAGAACAAATAACAATAGCAAAGAATTCATCACAAGGCTTGGAATGGGTGTTATACAGGCTGTGCTACTCCAACATTCACTCAATAACACATAACCTAAAAACACACCTACAACTCCAGTGTGTATTGATGCCTCAGCTACTCCTCACCTGTTTCATCAAGACCTGTTAAAAACAAACAACCTGGAAACTGAATTGGTTTCCTGAGAATAAAACAAAAACTAAAAATAACTTTGTCAAATGTGCTACTGCATGAAGCCATTATCAAGCACACTGGGAATACTGGCTACCAAATCAAGCACCGGATAACACACAAATTCATCCTAATAAAGCTACTGGAAATAAGTTGCAGAAGCTCTATATTTGCTGCGAGGTATTTGCAAGGTTTTGTTTCTTCACAGCTATTTTTGTGTCTTAAGGAGAAGTCAGATACCATCCTGAGGCTGAAGATAACATCACGAAGCTGAAGGGAGCAGGCTGCTTCCTGCCTGTGCATGGCAGGCAGATGGATCCCATCTGTTATTTTTAGATCCTTAAAGCTGAGACGTATCTTAGTTAAGTCTGCCCTGCACTGAAGCAGGGTCATGGATAACACAGGTTATCCTAAATGCCAGTGTTGTCTGGAAAGGATAGGCTGAACTTACCAAAAAATATTATAATACTAAGAGAAGATCTCCAAACTCTAAAATAATTAACCTATAGTACTTTTAGTAGTAGCTCAACACCCATTAGATACAAAGCCAGGAAGAACACAACTGATATGCCTGGTTATGTTTGGATTTAGTTTAGCTTGTTTGTTTGGTTTTGGGTTTTTTTGGATTAAAACCTTCATTGCTAAATGGCCAAATTTTCAAGACATACCAGCTGAAAATATGTCAAAACACTAAGAACACAACAAGATTACAAAACCACAGAACTCTCTCATGGCCTCCAAGCAGAAAATTCTTGTTTAAATACTCTTTCATAGAGTTTGGTAGGGACTTAGTTGCAGGTGGTGTTCTCAGTTTCCAGATCTCTGCTCTAGTGATAGTAAATGCTCCAGGAAGAAGACAAAAGCAAGTGCATGAATCTTTTCTGAAATATTAGAGCCACAACCTAAAGGTCTGCCCAGCTGAATAAGCAAGGTCTGTGAGCTCTTAACAACATTAAGATCTTCAGAAAAATTTCCCAGAATTTAAAAAAAAGAGATGGAAAATGTGGACTAGTGCAGCATTCAAACATCACATGGTGAGACAATAACATGAGGACTCACAAAACACAAACACCTCTCAGCAGCTACTGAAAAATTGCTGAACATGGCCATCATTATGGTTTAATGGATTCAGTTTAGACTAGGGTGAGAAGAGGAAATGTATATTCTCAATGTCAGCGTAATGGACATCTCCCTGCATATCTTTATTCTCTGTGTGGACACAAAGATATCCAGATACAAAGTATTTCTGAAAACCCACAGGAGTAGGAATGTTTCCACCCACATGTAATGGGCAGGGGGAAGCAGAAATATAAGCTTTGAAATAGAAACAGTTGCTCTGAAACTCTGATGCCATTACACAAAACATGCAGGTATGGACAGACATGAAGACTCTCAGCCACTGAACTTCAGAACCAGGAGTTAAAGTGGCCTTTTTGCTAAGTAACCACACCCCCATCATCAGGTGGAAACGTGTCATTCACAGGAAGAGGAATTCCAGTTCTCCCAAATCCTGATGGATCTGGAGCTGGTGAGAAATATCCTTGTGAAATTTGTGAGTACAGTTTGCTTCTGCATCAGGGTGTCTGTCCAGAATACCTTCCTCCTGATACAGTGAATGTCATGGAAGCTTTATAATTGTGTCTATATTTAACATCCTAATACATTTGTACTTGAAATAATGCTCCAGAGAGACCCTGGCTCATTGTCCCTGTGGAAGAACTTATGTAAAAGGGACCTGCCATTCTCACCTCTTATGAGACAATAGCAAAGAACTTCTCTCAAGTTAATTACAGATTAATGTTCATGTGAATGCAAAATTACAAAGCCTTGACACTACCTGAATGGGTACTTAGATAAGATTTGCTGTAACAATGGTTTGCAAGGGCAGCTGTGCCAATTTGTGCAGTGTTTACCTGGAAGAGACCGTTCTAGTCTCTCTCTCAGAAATACAGAAACAGTACTGCAAAAACTCAGCTTTGCCAGAAAAAGCTGCACCCAACACAAGGTGTTTTTTATACCCCCCAAATCACTTAATTTATTTCTCCTACCTCCCTTCCAGCATTATCGTAATGTCAGTTTTGAGTACGGAGGAAAAAAAAAAATAAAAAAAATTGCAGCATAAGAGTTTGGTGTTAGACACTAAGAAAAACCTCCTAAGAGTAAGAACAGTAGGAGAGAGGGCCTGGGAAGGCAGGTGAGGTCCTGCAAGGTCTTTAACATCAGAGATGATTTTGTAGAGATGAATTAAATATACTGGAACAATTTAGGCCATGTTGAATCCAGCATCAACTTTAGGAGGCTGACTGAGTGGAGCTTTTGAGGTCCTTCCCCAGACCCAGTTTCCTCTAAGTCTGGTCATAGTGTTCTCATAGTTATGTCTAAAGGCCACTGTGCTGAGAGTTCATATTAAATAAAATAGTTCTGCTTACTCATATCTTCAGAAATGTTATCACTCCTGTTAATATTTGAGTCACAGTACACCAAGGCTAGATGTTTGTGTTCTGTCATCCAAGTAAAGCAAAAGAGGTGCAAGTGTACAAAGAAATCTACTGCCTTTTGCCAGCACACTCTGATTTTAATTGATAGATACATCAAATCCTGTCTTCAAGCAATCCAGGCATTTTGTCAGAACACTTATCTTTCTGTTGTAGTCATAGTTCTGAGTGTCTGCTCAATGATACCAGCTGGTCTTTGATCTAGTCCTCTCAAAAGAGGCTGTTGTAAAAATTTTAAGTACTGCAAATATGCAAACTACTTTACAAGAACATTTTGGTGGTATTTGAGCTGCCAATATATCAGTGGTATTTCCAGCTGCCTGGAGACTGTTCTTCAATGCAGGATACTGAAATGAGCTGTCAGAACCTCACACCTTCCTTCAAATATGCCTATGCAGAAGTACTAAGAAGTCCATGTTAATCCAACAATACTTCTTTATAACTTATGTATATCCCATTCTTTTGGCCAGGCCATGGGAGATGAATCCTGCTGTTTATTTTATCAGTGATTTTTTTTTTTTAATGAGTTTTCTCTACAGCTTTGCTTTCTCACAGGTGAGCCAGAAATCCTGATTGGATTGAATAAAGACCCAAAAAATTCCTTGACAGCCAATGCAAAATGTCTGGTCTTTTCATCAGTTAATTGATATTGACAATGGATAGTTTTGTAAGTTCAGTGATTTCTCATTGCATAATTCAAATTTAAAGACTTTAATGAACATTACTGCTAGCAATCTCTACCTCTTGCTTTAGGTGAGAGGCTATGATAAACATAGAAGTTGCTCTTCCTTTTTCAGAAATATAAAGAAGAATTAAACATAAAGAATTAAACCTTTCCTTGGGTTTCTTTTCACTATCTGAATAGTGAAATAATGGAAGCTGTTCAAAGCACATGCAGTAGAGATGAAACAGGTTTTTTTAATCTGTAATTTAAAGAGGACTGGGAACAAAAAAAAAAAAAAAAAAAAAAAAAAAAAAAAAAAAAAAAAAAAAAAAGCAGTATCCAGAACTGAAAAAAGATGTTGTCCAAAAACATTAAAAAACCCCACAAAAATGTTGGATAAACTGATGTTTGAAAAGACCACTGGGCTTGGCTTTGCAACAAGGACATTGCCAAACATGCCTGAAGATGCCAAACTTCTTGTGACAAAGAAATTGTCACATGCATTTGCTATCATTGATTTCCTCTTAAATGAAAATAGTCAGAGGTGAAAAAGAGCCTCAGCACTCTTTTGGCTTGTAAGTCACCTGCATTAACCCAAATTAATAGGCACCAAATTATTCTGGGAAGCCAAGAAGATTTTACAATGCTAAACTCATAGTACCTGGTATTTAACAAGCCTGTGAGGCATTGTTAAGGACAAGATCTAAGCCCTGGCTCAGAACATGGTACCTCATGAGCAATCAAGAATGCAAAGCCAGGAAGTGACATCTGGAATCCCCAGGCTTTGCTGCTTTGCTATGGAGATCACATCTCTTGTAAGAGTTTTGTGAGGGTGCTGACTGTCTCTCACAGAACTTTTAAATAGTCAAAGTCCCAAATCCTCTTCTTAAAGGGAGAAAAATAAGTTAATAGAACACTGTGCTGTCCTAGGTAGAAGATCAATGTGCTCAAGAACATCTGCTCAGCCCCACCGTGGGACCTGCCTGCAGCAGGGAGTTCCTGCTGCCCCAGGAGGGAAGTTTACAGCATGCTTACAGAAAAGGTGATGTTGCAGAGCAGAACCTGGCGGCACACAGAGCACAGAAGGTGGGAGGCAGGGCAGGAATGGGCACTTACTGAGGGACAACACTGAGTAGATGATATTTCGAACCCCCATGCAAGCTTCCTCACAGCCTTGTCCTCACATAGCCATGCCTGAGGCAACAACATTCACTGCACACAGAAATGTGCCAACAGTATGTACACAATTAGACATGCTCAGGTCGTTTAGGCCTCAAATAGATTGCAAAGAAAATCAGTATAATAACAAAATATGTCACTGAGTGGAAAATATCAGGAAATATTTACATGAAATTTTTATCTGAATTGACACATTTCCTGCCTGATGTGTCTGACAGCACTGTCACCACATTAGACAAGAAAAAGAAATGATTAGTAAAATCTATGTGTTCTAACAAAAATGGAAAGATCATACCATGTTTGCCACAGTGAAGCTCAAAGAACTGGATGGAGTCAGATCATTCCCATCTGTTGGGATAAACAAGAAGATCCAAAGACTGTGGTCTTTGTGTAGATGCTCATTTTTTTCTGACTAGTAGTTCTCTGGGCTATGGTATTTTGTCCATGCACATAAGAGAGAAGACATTACAAAGTTATCAATGGTTTCATCTCATTTCACCACATACTATTGGCTTGCATTTAGTAGCATCCATTCTGATAAAATCTGTGATTAGAATGTGTTTAAATTAGTTTTATTTCATACCTGTAGACCACATTGAAGAATGATTTGATGATTTCTTAGAAAGAAATTATCCAACAATAAATTAAAAATCATGCTACTAAACCCCATATTCTTCATTTCAGAAAAATTACATATGTGAAGAGAAACGGAATCATTTTTATATCAAACTATGCTTTATAAATTATCATTTACAGGTAATAAATCCACACAGCTGTCTTCCATGTGAAAGTCTTGTTCTCTTCCTAGGGTAACCTGCAGTCTTACAGCATGTGAGAAACATGGTGACAATCAGTAAAGTTAAAATGCAGTAATGCCAAAATGGCTTTCCAGCTGTCAACAAATTACATACTTTGTGCACTCACATAGTGCAGATCTGCAGGTACTATCAACCCAAAAACCTATTCTATGCCACATAATAAGGAAAACATTGATTTTAATTTCAGAAGCCCAAGGAAACCTAATTAGGAAGCTATAGATGCTGCTGGAGCACAAAGGAAGTGAAATGGCTGTCTTGGAAGTTTATTCTTTCTTGTTTGAAAGACTGTTCTTTCCATTAACTTATCTTCTTTTACAGACTGTGCAAACAAAGAATGGGAACATGTGGAATAACTTTAAAAAATAAATGCTTTTTCATGGCTAACCTTAAACAGGAAAATATTCAGTTGGGTATATAATAGAGGGCGTTGCAAGTCTGAGTGAGGGTAGCTCACTAAAAAAAATAAAGTAAATAACAGGCAGTTATAAAAACAAGAAATTTGACTTTGTGGAAATGATTCTGCTGATAGCAGTGTCTAAATATTTGAGACACTGAATTGGAACATTTGGGGGCTCAGTAATTGCAAAACAGTTCTTATGCATTCAGAACTCAAAGAGGGCAAATTGCCCAAAACCCGTGGCAAAAAATCCTAAAACATTTCAGTAAGACCTGGACTAGCCCCAGCCTCAGTTTCAAAAACAAAACACTGGGCTTACGATGTTTTAGTTACAATTCTGTGATTTCAGAGTAATTCGCTGAAAAGCCAATGTTGGCTCCTGTTTCTCACTGCTGCAGCGCGTGCCAGAACCAACCTGGCTTCATCCAGTGTCCACATCCAACTCTAGCTGACTGTAAATCACTGCAGAAATTCAGTTGCTAATTAGAATATTCCAAATGCTCTTTCTCAAGATGAACAGTTTACCCACGTTCAGCTGAAATGGCTGTCAGAAAGAATTATTTTGGCTATCATCTGTCAATAGACAACTTAAACATAAACAGCTCTTGGTTTTAGAATGTATTAACACGTCTACCTGCTATTACTTTAAACAATATTTGGTATGCTTTTCTGTTGTAAACTGATTGTATGCATGGTAAACACATGGCTTGCTTTGTCATATTACAAACTAATGGAATAAGGTGATTAAGTCCACAGGCTTCAGACTGATACTTTTCAGGCATTAATCTCAGGTTGGAATATGGGCTTGAATAATTTTCTCTTCTCCACATATGTCTTTTTATAATCTAGTAAGTAGCTTAAGCATATTAAAATAATGCAGCAAACAAGCCTTCTTAAATTTTTCAATTAAGGGCTGCTTTGCTTTAATTATATAGGAAATTAGGTAGAAAACTACTGTAATGTTGACAGCAGGCCAAACGAGCCTGCTTCACGATTGATTCTGTCATGCTCCTAAAGAATGGAGGCATACATACATGCATATGTATTTTATTTCTTTCATTTTTAACAATAATGAAAACATTGTAATTCCTGCTATCAAAAATGCAAGCTCTTAGTTTCTAGAGTTAAGGAATGACCTCAGTCACATTAAGAACATAAGACATAAGGGATCAGCTGGGTCACTGAATCCAGTGCCAGCTTACAGACAACTTTGACTTTTAGCTTTGTTAGAAAGCTCTGACAGAAAAACTTATTTATTTGGAATAGTCTGTTCTAGTCTAAAAAAGGGATCAAGAAGAACAGGCTGCATTTTTTTCCTGTTGCAGTAAACAAAATCCAGGTTGCAAAGGATGAGATAGACTAATTTTAAGAACCCAAAGGGCATTAGGACAGATTAGCAGAACATAGTAGGCATATAATGTTACAGATAAATTCTTGCTGATGTATTCAAAAGTGTCCAAGCAGATTGAGAGTTTTTACACCAGAATATATCAACCATAGCATATAGCC